TTTTTTTATCCTCACCCGAGGACACTTTTTTTTTTTTTTGCATTCATCTTCAGATAGAGTGGGAGGGAGAGAAGAAGGGAGTGAAAGACACATCGATGTGAGAGAGACACATCAAGTGGTTGCCACCCGCACTACCCCAACCGGGGCCAGGGACAAACTGCAACCCAGGTACATGCCCTCAGTGGGAACCGAAGCCGGGACTCTCTAGTCTGCAGGCTGATGCTCTTAACCGCTGAGCCAAACCATCCAGGGCCCAAGTTTTTGTTTGTTTTCTTTTATTTTTATTTTTTTGTACAACTCTTTAAAAACGTTAAAATTATTTTCACTCTTCTCTGGTGCTCTTGTAGGTTCAGGGAAGCAGAAGTCAATGTCTTGGAAGCTGTACAGGGCTCTACCTTGGGCTGGGACAGTTTACCCAGACCCTTCGTGGGATAGCTCAAGTTGGCAGGTTTTCCTGTACAGTGAAGCCTCCATGAACACATACCTGGGTCACCTGCCTGTTTGTACAGGTTGTTCCCTTCAGCATAGACACCAGACTGTCATACTAGTATCAGCATGTCCTATGTCCTTTCTTTGTCATTGCTTGTGTGTGTGTGTGTGTGTGTGTGTTTTATTGATTTTTTTAATATGTTTTTATAGATTTTTTTTTATCCTTTTCAAGGACATTTTGCTTTTATCCTCAGAGAGGGAGGAAGAGAGAGAGAAACATCTATGTGAGAGAGACACATTGAGTGGTTGCCACCCACACAACCCCAATTGGTGCCGGGGACAAACTGCAACTGAGGTACATGCCCTTAGCGGGAACCGAACCCAGTACTCTCTGGTCCACGGGCTGACACTCTAATTGCTGAGCCAAACCCGCCAGGGCTTTTTATTGATTTTTTTAGAAAGAGAGAGAGACATCAACATCAATCAGCTGCCTCCTGCATGCCACCTACTGGGGATTGAGCCCACAACCCAGGCACGTTCCCTAACCAGGAATCGAACCAGCAACCTCTTGGTGCATAGGTCCATGCTCATCCACTGAGTCACACCAGCCAGGCTGCTTGTATATTTTTAATTTTTCTATTTATTGACTTTAGAGAGAAAGCAACATTGATTTGTTGTTCCACTTTATTCATTTGCTGATTCTTGTATGAGCCCTGAACAGAGATCAAACCTTCAACTTTGGCACGACTGAATGACACTAACCAACTGAGTTATAGTTTTAGAAGGGTAGTGTTGGTGTATGTGCTCATATTTGAGTCATAGAACGGTCTTGGGCATGTTTCATGGTGGGACTAGTGAGAGTCCTCTAAATACACACACAGTTACACATAGTTCCTGATCTCAACCCCCTTCCCAACAATTTTGGTATTTTCTTGGGAACTGTATGTATGAATATGAATATATAGGAAGGATTTTTGTGTCATCTTTTTTTTTTTGGTACGTGCCCCTAGTGGGAACCCAACCCAGGACTCTCTGATCTGCAGGCCAAAGCTCCAACCACTGAGCCAAACTGGCCAGGGCTGTGTCATTCTTTTACTTGTTTGTTTTTTATCCTCACCCGAGGATATTTTTTCCATACATTTTTAGATAGAGTGGAAGGGAGGGAGAGAGAGAGAGAATCATTGATGTGAGAGAGACACATCAGTTGGTTGCCTGCCATACACAAACTGGACTGGGGCCAGGACCTGGGATTGAACCTGCAATCCAGGTACGTGCCCTTGACCAGGAATTGAGCCCCTAACCCTTTAGTCTGTGGGCTGACACTAACAGCTGAGTCAAACTGGCTAGGGCTGTGTGATTCTTCTAAAACAACAGTGTAGACCCTGGCTATGTAGGTCAGTTGGTTAGAGTGTTATACACCAAGATTGCAGCTTTTGTCCCGTCAGGGCACATAAATGAGTCAACCAATGAATACATAAATAAGTGAAACTGTTAACAAATCTCTATTTTTCTCTCTCAAATCAACTTTTAAAAAAATTACTTCCGGTGTCAGAAGAAGGTTCCTGCTAAATGTCCTTCAGCACACAAGATAGTCCTCTCAACCCTTCAACAGTGATCTTATATAAAACATCAAAGCAGTTTGAAGAACATTTTTAAAACAACACTGGGTATTTTGGTTATGTTCTCTGTTCTCCACCCCACTGTCTCCCATTATAAAGTTGTTTGTTTACGTTTTATGTTTTCCTAGCAGCCAGGGGTCACAACCAGACCCCATAGGTTAGTGGGGATATCTGAGTGGGTACTCAGAGCCTCTGGTCCATCCTGCTCCTGACCATGGTCCCCTCTCCCTGCTGCCCCAGGATTACATCGCGGTGAAGGAGAAGTATGCCAAGTACCTGCCCCACAGTGCAGGGCGCTATGCAGCCAAGCGCTTCCGCAAGGCGCAGTGCCCCATTGTGGAGCGCCTCACCAACTCCATGATGATGCATGGCCGCAACAATGGCAAGAAGCTCATGACTGTGCGCATTGTCAAGCATGCCTTCGAGATCATCCACCTGCTCACCGGTGAGGTAAGGCCTGAGGCCAGGTGGGCAGAGCATGCCTTTAGCAAACCCTAAGGCCAGCAGCCACCTGCTGTGTGTGATGGGGTTCTCCAGGATTTAGGGGTGAGGAGACCAGAGAAGGGTAATGGCCAGACCTCAGGCTCATTAGTCCCACCCCCCTCCTAGAACCCCCTGCAAGTCCTGGTGAATGCCATCATCAACAGTGGCCCCCGGGAGGACTCAACAAGAATTGGGCGAGCTGGAACAGTGAGGCGACAGGCTGTGGACGTGTCCCCTCTGCGCCGTGTGAACCAGGTAGGCCTGGGGCTTTTGGCACACGTGGCTGGGGAGGCACAGCAGTCAGACCTTGGCGGAGTTCTGCCCCAGGCAAAGGCTGGCAAGTGGGAAGGTTCGTCCCAATCTGCATGTTTTAACTGGAGTGTCATTTCCTCCAAGAAACCTTTCTGGATTCTTACCCCATGCGGGGCATGTCCTAGGTCTTGACCTTTTGGGCCACATTGGGCTGAGGTGGTGTTTGATTTGGGTGCATTTTACACTGTGCTTGTTTCTTGGGCTATTTGAGAATCAGTTGCAAACATTCCAACCATTTTCCCCTTAATACTTCAGTGAGTTTCTCTGAGAATATGGATGTCCTATCCCCACCATCACCCACAAGGAATTAACAGCAATTGAGAATCTAGTGTTCCTCTGTGTCTCATTCATGCAGCTGTCCCCAGCACACCATTTATAGTTTTTTGTGTTCAATCAAGGGTCCAGGCCAAGAGCACACATCATGTTGCATTTTCCTTTCATGGTGGGTCTCTAGTCTTATGTAATCAGGGACCCAACCTCAACCTTTGTATCTACACTTACTTCTGTGGCCCTCAGTCTGATCCCAGATCTGGCAGCATGCCACCAGGGTGGCGTATGGTAGCCAGCATCTGTTGAGGGCCCACTTGGACCGTTGCTCTGCCTGGTTTGGGGCAACCTGTGCCCGAGCTTAGCAGACACCTGTGTTCCCTAGGCCATCTGGCTGCTGTGCACAGGTGCCCGTGAGGCTGCCTTCCGAAACATTAAGACCATTGCTGAGTGCCTGGCAGATGAGCTCATCAATGCAGCCAAGGTGGGTGAGGACCTTGGGGGCTTGGGGGGAGGAGGGCGGTTCTCCCACTCGAGCTAAGCGTGTGCCTCCTTGCAGGGTTCCTCCAACTCCTATGCTATCAAGAAGAAAGACGAGCTGGAGCGTGTGGCCAAGTCCAACCGTTGATCACTGGCTGCGGTTTCAATAAACTTGTTTGCCCTTTGGGCAGCACTGCCCGCCTGTGCCGCTGTCTGTCCTTGGGGGTCTCTGGGAGCTGGGGCAGGATGGTCCCATGTCCTGAAGAGCTGATCACATTCCTGGCACATCTTTTGGCCTGTGTGGACCTGGACTCCCCAGGGAAGTCCAGAACCACTGACTCAGAACCATGTCACCCCAGGATGCAGGCCTGGTCACCTGGAGTGTTTCAGCTGGTTAGAAGTGGGAGGGGTGGGGTTGTCTTCACAGTGATGTCACTCTGGCCTGGGGAGGGGCTTGGGTGCCCGCGAGGTCTGGGTGGCAGCTGTCACTACCTGGAAGCAGCTTAGGTAGAGGAAGCCAAGCTGTGGTCTGGGCCTTGACCACTTCCAGTTCCTCTGCTGGCGGGCAGGGGCCAACCCTGTCCTGTCCAGTCCACTGGTGGGTCTGCTAGGAGACTCTAGAGGTCATTCTCTGGCCAGGTTGTCCCTGTGGGCTCCAGGCTGCGTTGTGTGGCCTGGCTACAACCTAGCCCCAGGCAGCCTGCAGGACTGTTACCCCATGCTCCTTGCCACCAGAGCCTCCGGGGTGGAGAATTCATAAGAGGGGCTGAGGGCAGTGTCAGGAGCTGTCTGAGTTCTGTAAACCCGTGCCATCACCTACCCACCACCCCTGACATGCTGCTGGTGTACATCTTGGAAGGCGTGGCAAGCAGTTGGACAAGTCTGGTGGGAACCTAGGGCCTGGAGGGTGTGGCTCCACCTCAGGCTCCCTCCCATGGGGAGGGGCAATTAGTGTCTCTGCCAGTAAGCCAAGGATTGGGGTCAAAGCTGACAGAGACTTGCCAGCCAGAGGGAGGAGGCTCCAGCAGGTAGGAAGGGGCGAAAGGACAGTTGGGTCTGTCATTGGTGGGGAGCCTCTGATCCTTTGTAGCTCCCATCCTTGCTCTGCACTGCTGGGCACTTTATCCTCAGTGTCTAGGTTTAGTTCTCCTGGGAGTCCCTATCTACCCTTTCCCATGCCTGGCTGGGGTCCTCCCTGGAGCCACTCGAGTCCCCTCAGTCCCCATCTCTGGGGTCTCCAATTCTCTAGCTCAATCTGCTGTGCCCCCTGGGTTCCTCTCTGACCCAGAGTCGCTTCTCCCCATCCTGGCCCTGCTCCGTGTTGGGAGAAATCTTCTGCAGGGTCCAGAGCCTCTATCTTTCACCGCCTCCTTAGCTGCCTGACCACCTCTCCCGGCAGGCCCAGTCCGGATGCCCTGCCCATGGCCACCCTGGCTCCGCCGCCCGCGATTTCCCCAGGGCTCGGGTCCCAGCTCCCCTGGCTCGCTCTCTGCGCCCCGGTCCCCCAGCCAAGGGGAGGACGAAGACGAGGATGGGGACCGCAGCCCGGGCTCAGGCCCCATGCTGCCCCCCGCGTCCCCCGTGGAGTGCCTCATCTGCGTGTCGCCTTTCGACGGTGTGTTCAAGCTGCCCAAGCGCCTGGACTGTGGCCACATCTTCTGCCTTGAGTGCCTGGCTCGCCTGTCACTGGCCACGGCGGGGGGCGGTGACGCAGTGGCTTGCCCCGTGTGCCGTGCGCCCACGCGCCTGGCCCAACGCGGGGGGCTGCCCGCTCTTCCCACACAGACCGGCCTGCTGCCCCACGAAGCTCGCAGCCCGCCCACGCGCCAGGGCTCGGTGCGCTTTGACCGGCGCCGGGGGCTGCTCTACCTGCGCCCTCCTCCAGCGCCAGGGCCACGCAAAACCCGCCCAGCGCGCCCGCCGCCGCCCCCACCGCCACTGCGCCTCGGCCGTCCGCTGTCCCGCCGCGTGACGCTGGACAGCCCCACCTGGATCTTCAACGCTGCAGTGGCGCTGGCCGTGCTGGTGGCCGCGGGGCTGGTGGTCTCCGGCGTCTACATCTTCTTCCTCATCCCGCACGCCGCCTCCTCCGGCCTCGCACGCCCCCAGCTCGTGGCTCTTGCCCCACCACCCGACTTCTCCTGGTTACCGCCGCGGCCCACGCCCGGGGCGCCCTGGACGCCAGGTCCCACGGGCCGTGAACTAGACACCAACCTGCCAGGGGCTGCAGAGGATGCGCTGGAGCCCATAGAGAGCCCCGGGGACGCAGCGGATGCGGAGGGGACGCTGGACAGGCCCTCGGATCGCGAGTGGGAGTCAGAGGATGGGCCCGCCTGGGCCCCCGGGGCACCGGAGCCATAGTAAACGCATCTCTGCTGCAGATCCCGTCTCCAGTCCTGGGACCTTGGTGTCATCCTGGTGGCCCAACCAGAACAACTTGCCACGATCCCCTGAGGTTTAGGAGGGCGCCTAGTAGGCACCCATTTCTCCAAAGGGAGGCTTGATGGGATCATCACCGGACAGGGACCCTCTCAAGAAGCAACCCCTGAGAACACCTTGACCCAAATCTCTGCCGGCATCCAGCTGAGGTTGCCCTGATCTCACCTTTGTAAAGACCCTGCTGGGATGCGCTCTTAAACCTGGTCTCCCTGAGGGCGCAGTGGGAGTACCCCGATCCTCATCCCTCCTAGGAGTCCAGATGGGAAGCCTCCCTGAGTGACCTCTGCAGACAGCCTGCTAGGGGCACTCCAACCTTGATCCTCACAAGGGTCCCACTGAATGTACCCCCAGTCCTCACCAGAGCCCTGGGGTGCATCCTTGGGGCACCAGAGACTGAATGAAGGCTCTGAAGTTCTCCACAGGTGGCCACAGGTGCTCCCATCCTTGGAAGGCAAATGTGCTACTGCTGCTACTCGGAAAACACCCCTGACAGAGCCATTGCCAAGCGGACCCTGACCAGGTGGTGGAGTTTGTTTTCTACTCTGCTGCCTGCAGGTGGGAGGTGGACCCAGCTGTCTCAGTGCTGGTCCTCAGTTGCCACCCTGCACACCTGACTGGGGCTAGGGCTGGGGAGGGACAGATAGGGCCTGAGCCTCAAAGACTGGCTCCCAGCCCTGGCTGGTAGCTCAGGTGGTTAGACCGTCCGTCACTATTCGCCAAGGTTGTGAGTTGGTTCACCAGTTAGGACATATACAAGAATCAACCAATAAATGCATAAATAAATGGAACATCAAATCGATGTCCCCCCCCCCCCCCAAAAAAAAAGATTGGCTCCCACCTGGGTGCTGAGTACCTAGTTGCCATGGAGGCCCCTGACGTCCCAGGTTGCCCTCTAGTTCAGTGTTACCTGGTTTGGGGGTTGCTCATGGACCTCCCTGGCCACTGGAACCACCCCTCACCCCATCTCCATTCATTTCTTGGAGCCTGTTACTGTACCTTTCCTGGCATCCTTATTGGACCCCCAGGTAAAGCCTTACCCCTCCCTATGGACAGCCACCTCCAGGGAGGGCAACTCTTGGGTTCTTGTCTTCCTCCTCTCAGAAGCCTTCCTGGTTTAGTCACAGCAGAGCAGATGGCATCCACCCTCTGCACAAACTGAACATGAGTCATCTGCCCCACATCCCAGGCCCTGGAGCCCACATCCTGCCTCAGTTAGCCCAGGGTTGGGATGCTGTGTGTTGCAGGTGGGCCCCCAGCATTTTCCAGTGTAACTTATATGAGGTTGAAGGCTCCTGTTTGGTTTGTTTACAACCGTATGTCCTCAGCCCCTGGCACACAGCGAGTGCCAAAGAGATTTCTGAAGGGCATGACAGCATTACAGGTGACCAGGGGGTAGCCCAGAAATGCCTGTGCACACCCTGGGCTCACCTTGCTGCCAGCCACCCTGACCTAGGCAGTCATCGAGGCTCCTTCTGATGCAAGCTGCTGCTTCCAGGTGGAAAGCCAGAGTGGGGACCGCAGGACGTCCAAGGGAGCGTCTTCCCGGACCAGTTCTTGTCCCATATTTGTGTGCCAATGTCACTCAAAGCCCTGCCCCACAGGGAGGGGACCTGATCGGCAGGAACAAGGTTGGCAGTCTGTAGTTTTCTCTTGCTGCCACTTATTTCCACTAACTCCATTCCTTAGAACAACACACATCAACCATCTCACATTTCTTCAGGCTGATGTCTTCGGATCAGTCTCACTGGACTAAAGTCCAGGTGTCCACAAGGTCAGTTCCTTCTCGAGGCTCCAGGGGAGAATCTCCAGCTTCTAAGCCGCACTCTTTGGCCTCCTCCATCCTCAAAGCAGCAGCATAGTATCTTCAGATCTCTCTCTGACCCTTCTGTCTTCCTTTCATTTATGACACTGTGATGACATTGAGCCCATTCTGATAAACCAGGATAATGTCCCCAGCTCAACTTGCTGTCCTTAACTTAATCAACATCTACAAGCCCATCTTGACATGCAAGGTATCAGATGCAGATTCCAGGGATTAGGATTTGGATATCTGTGAGAGCTATTATTCAGTTTATATAGGGTCTCAGATAGGTCCCTCCTCATCCCTTCTCTTCTGCACCCCAAGGCAAGAGAGTGGGGGAGGCAGGAAAACTGCCAGAGATAGGTCCAGCCAGGGGGACCAGAAAGGGAAATTTGACTGGTGGTTCACAGAAGAGCAAAAGATGATGCTCTCTGAGGGTGTTCAAGGAAGGCTGCCTGGAGGAAGAGACCTCAGAGTTGTATCTTCAAGAACACTCATGGGAAATGACAGTTAGCTTTGGGTCAGAGGGACCTGGGGCAGTGAGGTGGTGGCTGAGGATAGTGGGCAGTGCTGGTCTCTCCCTCCCTCTGTTAACCAGCTTCCTCCTGGGGGCTACAAGGAAGCTTTGCTTCTCCACCCTCTCAGCTGGGAGCCTGAGGCCTTTGTCTCCTGTAAAATGAGGCTGATCACAGAGCCTAGGGACTGCTGAGCATTCCTGTCTGCTGATTACTACCTCGATGCCTGCCCGCCCACTGCCCATGAACAAAGGGGATGCCCGAAACGACCCTGGGGCCAGGATCATGGGGGCCTCCCCCACACCTTTGCCTTTCGGCCTCTGTGTCTACCAGGGGCTGCCTGCCCTCTGTCCAGTCCCAGGCTTGCTCCTCCTGCCAGGTCCTGTGAACTCCCAGAGAGCTGGTCATCCTCAGTGCCTGGCATGGTGCCAGAGAGACCTGTACTCGCGATTTTGCTCTTCTTTTCTGTAAAACGGGCGGTAATAAACACTCTACTGGCTAGAACTCGTTCATCCACAAGTATTTTTTGAGCGCCTGCTGTTTACCAAGGGTGCACTGGGAACACCTCAGGCACAAGGAGGGCCTTCACATGGCAGGTGATGGCTAGAAGGCTAAGCAGAGCCAGCATCTTGGCCACACGGCCTCCCCGCCAAGCTCCTGGGGCCCCCAACTCAGCAAACCTTCCCCCAGCTCTCCTCCCATTGTCGCTAGAGACAGAGGCAGTGTCCAGATTGACGGATGGGGAAACTGAGGCTGACGGACTGGACAGGGGTTGGACTCGAAGGAAAACCAGAGAGCTTTTTGCAAAACACCTCTCAACTCCACGCACTGGTCGGAGCGGGCAAATCGATTTTCCCTCCCCTGACCCCAGCCCCAGCCCCGCAGCTGTAGTTCTCTCTGCCCGAGTTCTCCCCTCTCCGTTAACACCAGCGGCGGACCAGGCCTCGGGCGTACAGGGCGTGGTGGGACCGCCCGGCTCTCGTGCCTTCCCCGTTAGCGTTTCCGCGGGCCCGGGGAGCCTCCGGGACGCCAGCGATCGTGCAGCAACCCTGTCCCTGTCCCACGTGGGTACAAAGTAACAGCAGAAAGCCTTTCCTCCGCGGCGCGCTCGCCCGGGAACGCCCCTTTCGTGAGCAGCCGTCGGTTGCATCATTACGGACGCACTGCGAGGGCACTATGGGAAATGTAGTTCCGAACGTCCAGGAGACGCTGAGAGCGCCCTCCCTTGTCGCCGTGGCAACGAGCAAGCGGCCCCGCGAGGGGAGCTGGGAGATGAAGTGCGAGCGTGAGGCAGACGCCCAATCAATGAAGCGGCCGGCGGCAGCACGGGGCGGGACTTCCGGCGCTGCCCTGGTATTGCTCAGTTCGCTGCGGGAGGTGGGTCCGTGTGGGCTCCTGACGAGTGCGGTGCGGGCTGGACCACCTCCCTCGAGCCCCGCGGGCGGCGAAGGAGAAGGGCGGGGAGCCCGGCCGCGCCTTTGCACGCGCCGTGGCCCCCGAGTGGCTCCGTCTTCGTGAAGCTCTCGTGTCCCGCGGCTCCCCAGCCCTCGACACCACGGTACCCGACGGAGACCAAGCTTCGAAGTTTCTTCGGCCGCCGGATGTTACTGCGCCCGGGGCGGCGACGGAGTTCAGCGGAGTGCGCAGGCACTCGGCGCGCGTCTAGGTCGCAGCCACGCTCCGCCCACAGGTTCCGATGGCCGCTGAGGCGCAGGTGAGTGAAAGGGGGTCCGGTTCCGAATGAGCCCAGGACTGAGCAAGGCTGTGGAGGGGAGGTGCAGCCGGCAGAGGCCGGTGGACGAGGGCCTGGGCTCGGTGATGCGTGCGTGGTTCCGGGCGGCGGGGCTCCCCGGGGCGGGTGCGATCGTGGCAGCTCTCCGTGGTGTCACTCTGCAGACACCATGTGCAGAACTGGCACGTGTGGGGGTCCATTAGTTGCCTGACCCTGGGGCGGACTGGTGAGGTGGTGCTGGGCTGTGTGCCTGGCGGTCGGTCCCGCTGGAGGGCCGTAGACCAGGTGTTTGTGCCTGAGACGGAAGGATGAGCTCTAAGAGGTGATCCCTGGAAAACTGGGTGGCAGGAGATAGGGTGCGGCTTGTGCTCCTGGCCCGGTACGTAGGTGGCATCTGTCAGGTCACCAGCTTGTGACTGTGGGCTGGGTGCAGAATCTAGTAGTAACATGAGTGAGGCATCAGTGGTATCGGGGGCGGGGAGGGAGGGGGGACTGGGAATCTTCTGAGGTAGGGATTTTAGGAAGAGGGAGGGATGAGAGTATGGATGGGGGGATTGGGGCTCAAAGGGAAAGATGTGGTAGGACGCTGAGCCACAGGTCAAGGGCCTGGATGTGTTTCTCTGTCTACATTTTGGTTGGCTTCTCTGCCCACTGTTGACCCTAAGGCTCAGTTGAATCCGTCATGACAGGGCCTGGTCACCTTTGAGGATGTGGCTGTGTACTTCTCCCGGGAGGAGTGGAGTCTCCTTAATTCCACCCAGAGGAGCCTGTACCATGATGTGATGTTGGAGAACTTTATGCTCATTGTCTCACTGGGTAAGACCCTCACGTTCCCCCAGGAAACTGACCACCTCTGACTTTCCCTCACGGAATTTCTGTTCATCCCAAAGTCCCATCAGGGAGGCTGCTTTATTCTCAGATTTCCTGGGTTGGTGCAGAGTACCAGGACTGGGCCTGTGCTTGTAGAGTCCTCTCTCAGCAGCTCTGTTAGCAGCCTCAACACCTGTTGCCCCAGCAGCTTTCTGGAGGACAGCTTGGGCTTCAGACGTTTACAGTTTTCCCAACAAGTCCCACCCAGCTCTGCCTCTCTCTGTGACCCTGCTGAAACATGGTCCCTCTGTGCTCTGGGTTTTGCCTTCTTTCTCCAAAAGATATTATATGGACTTCTCCCTGGGCCAAGTTTGAGCCATGAATTCAAATCAGTAGATCCATTGTGAGAGTGTTGTGTTCTTAATATCTTTCAATCCATGGACATGACATGTCTTTCTGTTTATTTGGCAGTTCTATAATTTTTTTGTAGTGTTCTGTATACAAAGCTAAACTTATTCTTTGGATGCCATTGTAAATGAAATTGTTTTCTTTTTTAGTTTTTTAAAAATTGATATTAGAGCCCTGGCCGGTTTGGCTCAGCGGTTAGAGCATTGGCCTGCAGTCCAGAATGACCCAGGTTCGGTTACCACTAAGGGCACGTACCTCGGTTGCAGTTTGTCCCCGTCCGTGGTTGGTCGTGCAGTTGGCAGCCACTCGATGTGTCCCTTTCACGTCGATGTTTCTCTCTCTTCCTCTCTCTCCCACTCTATCTGAACAACAAATAGAAAAATGTCCTCAAGGATAAAAAGAAAAAAAATTGATATTAGAGAGAGAGAGGAAGGGAGAAGGAGAGAGAGAGAGAAACATCATTGAGAGAGAACATTGATTGGCCATCTCCTGCATGCCCCCCACTGGGAATCAGGCCCACAATGTGGGCATGTGCCCTACTGGGAATCGAACTAGCGACCTCTTGATGCATGGGTCGACGCTCAATCACTGAGCCACACCAGCTGGGTTTTTTCTTTTCTTTTCTTTTGGTTAATCCTAACCCGAGAATATTTTGTCCATTGATTTTTGTTTGTTTGTTTGTTTTAGACAGAGTGGAAGGAAGGTAGGGAAGGAGAGAGAGAGAGAGAAACATCTATGTGAGAGAGAGACACCAATTGGCTGCCTCCCACATGTGCTTCCGACGAGCCAGGGATCAAACCTGCAACCCAGGTACATACCCTTGACAGGGAATTGAACCTGTGACTCTTTGGTGCTTGGGCCGACTCTAACCACTGAACCACATTGCCTGTGGCTGGAATTGTTTGCTTAATTTAATTTTTTATTGTTTTTTTACTAGTGTATAGAAATATAATTCATTTTTGTTTTTTGTTTTTTCATTTGCTTTTTTTATCCTTACTCAAGGACATTTTTGCATTAATCTTCACAATAGAGCAGGAGGGAGAAAGGGGGGAAGAGAGAGAGAGGAACATCCACGTGAGAGAGGCACATTGACTGGTTGCTACCCACATGACCCTAACTGGGGCTGGGGACAAACTGCAATGAGTTACGTGCCTTTAGCGAGAACCGATCCGTGGGCTGACACTCTAACTGCTGAGCCAAACCAGCCAGGGCTATAATTTATTTTTGTATACTGATGTTGTAACCTGCAACCTTGCTAAACTCATTTGTTAGCTATAATAGTTTTTTTAGTGGGTTTCCATATACATGTATATATAATGTGATAGCATCTGCAAAAATATATTATTTTAATCTTTTTTTCTTTGTTGACATTAGAGAGATAGGAAGAGAGAGATGGAAACAGCGGTTGAGCGTAGACCTATGCACCAAGAGATTGCCAGTTTAGTTCCCAATCAGGGCACATGCCCAGGTTGTAGGCCCGATTCCCAGTGTGGGGCATGCAGGAGGCGGCCAATTGACATTCTCTCTCATTGATGTTTCTGTCTCTCTCCCTTCCTAAAATCAGTAAAGAAAAAAAAAAACCTTAAAAAAAAAAGTTGTATGGCCCTGGCCAGTTTGGCTCAGTAGTTAAGAGTATCTGCCTACAGACTGCATGGTTGCAAGTTCTATTCCCAGTCAAGGGCATGTACCTTGGTTGCAGGTTTGATCCCCGGCCTCAGCTGGGGTTGTGTAGGACGTAACCGATCGATGTTTCTCTCTCTCTCCCTTCTTCCCTTCCACTCTATCTAAAAATTAGTGAAAAAATATCCTCAGATGAGGATAAAAAAAAGAAAAAAAGTTGTATGCCTGGGGTGTGACTACCCACCTTGACCTGCCCTGTTAGGAATTTATGATCAGATGTTTGAGATTTTTAAAAATATGGGTGTTGTGACATAATAAATATATTTGTATTTTGACTTTGTTTCCAGTTCCTGGCACACAGCTCCTAAAATCCTCGGAATCTCTGCCATGATGCTAATGGTGACTGGTAGCTGGAGACCCCTAGAAAGTTAGAGGATGGGCTTGGTCACCAGAAAGACCAAGGCATGACTGGAAGATTGGATTTTCAGCCATTCTATATCCCGATCCTCCCAGCCCCTACCCTCCTATAGACAGCAGAGGGCTGGGAGTCAATCACCAATGGTCAGTGATTTGATCAGTCACGCCTATGTAGTGAAACCTCCATAACAACTTTTATTTTTATTTTATTATTATTTTTTTTATAAAAAGTATTTTTCTTTTTCTTTTTTTTTTATCCTCACCCGAGGACACTTTTCCACTTTTTGTTCAGGTAGAATGGGAGGGAGAGAGAGGAAGAGAGAGAGAGAGAAACATCTACGTGAAAGGGACACATCGAGTGGCTGCCACCTGCACGACCAACCAGGGCCGGGGACAAACTGCAACTGAGGTACATGCCCTTAGCAGGAACCGAACCCGGGTCTCTCTGGACCGCAGGCTGACGCTCTAACCGCTGAGCCAAACTGGCCAGGGCTCTTTTTTTTCTTTATTCCTCACCCGAGGATACTTTTCTCCTTATTATCAGATAGAGTGGGAGGGAGGGAGGGAGAGAGAGAGAGAGAGAGAGAGAAACATCGATGTGATAGAGCCCATATGAACTGGTTGCCTCCCGCACAACCTGACCAGGGCCAGGACGAACTGCAACCAAGGTACATGCCCTTGACTGGAATCGAACCTGCAACTCATTTGGTCCGTGGGCTGACACTATAACTGCTGAGCCAAACCGGCCAGGGCTAAAGTACTTTTTCTTTATTTTAGAAAGAGAGGAAGGGAGAAGGGGAGAGAGAGAGAGAAACATCAATGAGAGAGAACATTAATTGGCCATCTTCTGCTTTCCCCCCACTGGGGATTTGGCCCACAACCTGGGCATGTACCCTGACTGGAAATCGAACCAGCGACCCCTCGGTGCATGGGTTGATGCTCAACCACTGGACCGCAGGCTGACGCCACATCGGCCAGGCTCCATAAACTTTTATTTATTTATTTTTCATAAAAACTTTTAAACAGTGGTGTTGGAGAGCATCTGGGTTGGTGAACACATAGAGGTGCTTCAAGAGTGGTGCCCCCAGAGGGCATGGATTCTCCTCAGCCTCCCAGCATACGTTGCCCTAAGCATCTCTTTCACTGGGCAGTTCCTGAGTTGTGTCCTTTATAATCGATCGGTAATCTGAAGTAAACTCTTCTCCTGATTTCTGTGAACCTGAGTTCTAGCAAATTGTTGAACCTAAGGAGGGGTCAACAATTGTGGGAATCCCCAACTTATAGTCAGCCAGTTAGAACTACCAGAGGCCTGGGACTTCCAGTTGATGTCCCAAGTCTGCACAGTCTTATGGGCAGACTGAGCCCTTAACCTGTGGGATCTGACTCTGACACTAATTCTCGTAGTTACTGTTGGAATTGGTGAATCCTTGTACACCCATTTGGTGTCAGGGTTGGAGAAGTGGTGTGGAAAACTCCCCATAAACTTGGTGCCACAAGATGTTGTAAGATAGCACAGAGGTGTTCGTAGCTATAATTTCCCCTCAGCACTGCTTTATTATTTCAGTCTTCTGAAATCCATTGGGACTTGTTTTATGCCCTAGCAAACGGTTTGTTCTGGAGAATGTTCCATGTGCAAGTGAGAATGTGAGAAGAATATGTATCTGTTGTCGTTAGGTGGCATGTCTTATAGGTGTCTTAGTTGTAGCTGATATTTAGTGTTATTCGAGTGCTTCATTCTTGTTCATTTTCTGCCTCGTGATTCTGTTTATTGAAAGTTAGAAATTGAAATCCCCAACCATTATTATTTATGAATTTCTTACTTTAGTTATGTCAGATTTTGCTTTGTAAGAGGTTTTTTTTTTTAAAACAGATAGCATGAGCCCTCGCCGGTTTGGCTCAGCCATTAGAGCGTCGGCCCACGGACAAGAGAGTCCTGGCTTTGGTTCCCGTTAAGGGCATGTACCTTGGTTGCAGTTTGTCCCTGGCCCCGGTTGGGATCTTGTGGGTGGCAACCAGTCGATGTGTCTCTCCCACATGGATGTTTCTCTCTCTTCCTCCCTTTCTCCCTCCCATTCTATCTGAAGATAAATTCAAAAATATCCTTGGATGAAAATAAAAAACAACAACAACAAAAAACACATAACATGAGATTTATCCTCTCAATTTTTGAATATACAGGGGAGGCCTGGCCAGTGTGGTTCAGTGGATTGAGTGTTGTCCCACGACTGAGGTCCCTGTTCAGTTCCTGGTCAGGGCACATGCCCAGATTGCAGCTGGATCGCCAGTAGGCATACGAGAGGCAGCTGATTGATGTTTCTCACATCGATGTTTCTATTTCTCTCTAAAAAATCAATAAAAACGCCCTGGCTGTTTGGCTCAGTGGTTAGAGTGTTGGCCTGTGGTCCAGAGAGACCCGGGTTTGGTTCCCACTAAGGGCACGTACCTCGGTTGCGGTTTGTCCCTGGCCCTGGTTGGGTCATGCGGGTGACAACCACTCAATGTGTCCCTTTCACGTTGATGTTTCTCTTTCTCTCTCTTCCTCCCCGCACTATCTCAACAAAAAATGGGAAAATGTCCTCAGGTGCGAATAAAATAAAATAAATCAATAAAAACATTTAAAAAATGAAATAAATAAATGTACAGAGGAGGTTCATTTTCTAATACTCAGTTTCCTTTTGGTTGCCATGGTGACATGAGCTTCCTGTAGTGTGTGGCCAGCTGGGTCAGCCTTTACTAGGGCTGGCCTCTTAAACTTTCTCCTCCTAGGATTTGTACCTTCAAGGTCCCATGTGGAGGGTGAAGAAGAGCCCTGGGTGCCCAGCATGGTGGACATAACTCTGGTCAGAAGAGCAGGAGCCAGGAGGGGTCCTGGTCTTGGTGAGTGGGGCTGGAGGCACTTGGTTTCAATGATGTCCTCACACAGCATGGTGGTGCAGGTGTCTGTGCACTGGCATTTGGTGATAAGGCCAGTGACCACACCTTATTCCCACCTTACTTTACCTCTGGACACACTGTGTGGTCTTGCCATCTCCACCATGACTCAGGCCCTTGATGACCCACCTCTCTGGCCTCTGTCTTGTCACTTCTCCTTTACTGTGCTACAGTCTTTTCCTAGGAGTAGACACGTCCTCTTCACAGTGCTCACTGTCACCAGCAACTAAGGCCTTGCTGGGAGCCTATTGCAGAGACATGACTTGGAGGTCCCAGCTCTCCTCCCGCACTGCCCTTGTCCCTGTTCTGTGATCTGGCAGAGCCCTGTTCTGGGCCAGCCTTTCCACACCCAGACATATCCTGGCTACCTCTTGGCAATTCTGCGGACTCCTTTCTGGGTGTGTTATACACGCACTGGTGGTAAAGGTACCTCCTGCCTCTAATCCAGCTCTCAGTAGCTTAGCTTTCTGTTTCAGGTTGTCCCTGTAGACTGGATGATGGGGAGGCCTCTCCTCAACGGGTGAAGAGCTGCAGAGTCCACCTGTCAGAGAAGCACCTTCTGTGTGGGGAGTCTGAAAAGGATATCCCTGCCATGTTAGGCCACCTCCAACACCAGGCCACTCACAGTGAGAGCAAGTCATTCAGGAGCACGGGGCGCGGAGAGCCCTTCCTGCCCAGCTCTGGTCACCAGCAGCAGCAGGGAGTCCATGCTTCACAGAAGCCCTTCAAGTGCAGTGGTTGCGGGAAGGCCTTCCTGAAGGCCTTCGTGCTCCTTGACCACCTGGTAACTCACTGTGAAGGGAAACCCTTTAGGTGCCCAAAAGGTGGTAATGCCCTTAAGGAGAACTCGACTCTGGTTAATCACCGAAAAATTCACACTGGAGAAACACCCCATGTGTGTGAGGAGTGTGGAAAGGCCTTCAGTTACCCATCTAAACTGAGGAAGCACCAGAAGGTTCATACGGGCATAAAACCTTTCAAGTGTGGTGAGTGTGGGAGAACCTTCAACCGCAAAGATGCCCTTGTTCTGCACCAGAGAATTCACACTGGAGAAAGGCCTTACGCCTGTAACGAATGTGGCAAAGCTTTCAGTGTTCTGTCCACCCTCATCCGGCACCGGAAAGTTCACATTGGAGCCAGGCCTTATGAGTGTCAGGAATGTGGCAAGTTCTTTAAATACAACCAGAGCTTCATTATCCACCAGAGAGTTCACACTGGAGAAAAGCCTTATGTGTGCAAGCAGTGTGGGAAAGCATATGTGACCCGCTCCGGCCTGTACCAGCACTGGAAAGTCCACACTGGAGAGCGGCCCTACGAGTGCAGCCTGTGTGGGAAGACCTTCACTACCAGGTCCTACCGCAACCGGCACCAGCAGTTCCACACGGAGCAGAGGTCCTATGAGTGTGCGGAATGTGGAAAAGCATTCAAACACAGTTCTACCCTCCTTCAGCACAAGAAAGTCCACACGGGAGAAAGGCTGTAGGCAGACGGGGTACCATAACTGGCTCCATGCTCAGCATGGAAGATAACTCTCCAGAAAGGAGACTGAGGAGAGGAGCTGTCTGAATATGTTGTGTTTTGTTGTTTTTTCATTCCTCACCCGAGGATATTTTTCTATTTATCATTAGATAGAGTGGGAGGGAGAGAGAGAGAGAAACATCAATGTGACCAGGGCCAGGGACGAACCGCAACCGAGGTACATGCCCTTGACCGAAATCGAACCCGCGACTCTGCTCCGTGGGCCGACGCTCTAACCACTGAGAAATACAGGCCAGGGCTTGAATATGTTTTTTTAAGTTGATTTTTTTAGAGGGGAAGGAAGAGAGAGAGAGAAAAACATCAATGTGAGAGAAACATCGATTGGCTGCCTCCTGCACGCCCCCTAATGGGAATCAAGCCTGAAAAGCAGGCATGTGCCCTGACGGAATCAAATCGGGACCTCTCAGTCCATGGGATGACAGTCATTCCATTGAGCCACACTGGATGAGGAGAGGAGCCATTTGAAAGCTGAACCAGGCACACCCCAACACCCATGATGGGAAGGGTGTCAGGAATGAGGGAGGTTTTGGGGAGCTGTGTTATACTCCGACTGCTCAGGCTGTGATAGAAGCCATCACACCTCTGCCACCTGGCTGGTCCCCATGGTTGCATCCATCACCCCACTGTGCTCAGGGACCACAGACCTCCATGCTTCCCACTCTGTATAGAACAGAATCATGAGTAGTGGAGCCCATATGGGACCTCATATCCCCCTGACTGGTTTAGGTGTGGACATGACCTAGCTGTGGCCAACAGGAGCTAAGCAGTGTCCACCGGGGGCATCCAGGGAGGTGAACTGATTTCATGTACACTGCTGACACCGCATGTGGCACCTGCCGTGGGCTTGCCCCATCCTGGGACCACCTCACGCTGCTCTGGGATGCAGTGTGGCTCAGTAGGTTGAATACTGTCCCATGCACCCAGAGGTTGCTGGTTCAATTCCCCGTCAGGGCAAATGCCCGGGTCGCAGGCTTATCCCCAGTAAAGGGCGTGCAGGAGGCAGCTGATTGATGATTCTCAATGATGATCGCACTCTCATTCTCTCTCTCTCTCCCTCTCTCTAAAATCAATAAAACGTTAAAAAGAAAAAAAGGTCTTGTTTAAGTCACATTTAATATTGGGGGTTCTGATCTCTGTGTGAGGGGAATAAAGAACAAAATTGGACTCATGAACAGAGGGAATGGCATCTGTGGGGATCCCTGACTTGTCTGCCTGGGTGAGGATAGCAGAATGGCAGAGAACAGTTCTGGTTGAGGTTGGCCTAACTTGCTTTGGTGCCTGAGACCTGCAGGGAGAGATTAGAAGGCTTGGTAGGCGAATCGTGTCATCTGGGTGTCAGGTTTACTGGTGGGTCAAGAATGGGAGAGTTGGTACCAGATGCCCCATGTGTCCAGGGACAATAGGAGCCAGGATCCTTGTTCCCAGGGAATGTTCCTCAATCTCCAGCATTGGTCACAGGAAGCTCTTTCCAGAGTCAGCTCAGAAGCCATGTCCTCTGAAATCTAGAACTTGGAAGTAAGCTGTAGACTAATCATAAAACCTATAGGGGCCTGTTGGAAAACAGGTGGCACAGAAACCCTGCAGTAATGAGTGGGGAGTCTGGTACACTAGCAGGTCTGAGCTGGTTCTAAAGAGGCTTCCACAAGTGTTCAGGCAACTATCATTTCAGGGACTGAGGGTTGCAGAACTCTGGAATTGCAGACCTGTTACCTGTGACTGAAATCACACTCACCACATTATGTACTGGTCTTCTGGATTCTAGCCTTCCTGGGCACGTTCACCTCGTGGCCATCACCCTGGATGTTCTGGGATGTGGTTTTTGTGACGTAGCCAGTGTTCCTGCTGTCTGTACACCATGGCCTTCACTGTCTTTGCCTCCACTGACTCTGGGCTCAAGGGAGAGAAGTGGTTGAATGTTTATTTTTGTGGGTCCTTTTGATTTAAAAATGTTGGAACACTGTTTTGCCACAAAGTAAATACAATGTCAGTTCAGCAAAACTCGTATGTTGCCTGTAGCTGTGTCCCTGGTCCAGAAACTGCTTCCTGTTAATAGGAATTGTGTTTTGAAAGAGTCATTGGCCCCAGGCTTGAGGGGATTTGGGCCACGGTGCTCATCCTACCACATGTTGGGGCTGGAAACCACCACTGCTGCCTCTCACAGGGACGATTCTCTCGCCCACCCTCCTGATGGCAGGAGGGGTAATGACCACACAGGGTAAACCTCAGGCAGGCTTGCAGTCAGGGGAGTTTTGGGTCAGTCTGCTCAATTTCTCCCCAACACCATAAAGTGTATACCCACTTGCAGGTCTGCTGAGGCCCTCCTCCCTGAGTGTAATAATTTCCACCTCCAACATAGGGGTCTGTGTGAGAGCAGGTTTGAAGTCCAGCTGAGCCAGGTAGAGCTCAGATCTCAGGGCAAATCGGAATTTGTTCTTTGTTATTTCTTCCCCAACTTCATCTGTCCTTTGGATTAGTTGGCACAATGGCATTAATTGCATCTTTGTCTCTATTTTCCTAGGCCAGGCTGAATTAAGCTATGTATTTTCTGGTTAGGGAGGAGATTATGAACCATTTCCTCTTAAGTGTCTTCATTTAGGGATGATAAAGTCTTGAGATTCACACGCTGGCTGGCTGTAAGTTGCCCAAACTGTTTGACCTTGTTTAATTTTCTTGTCTCAGTTTCTCTATTCCACTTGCCCAGGAATTTTCCTAGCTTCTTACTAACCTGCCTGCTCCAGACCCTCCCAGCCCAGAGCCTCACCTTGGAGTGAGCCAGGGGAAGCTGAGATGTAGGGGGGACTCCACTGCACAGCATCCCACACGGTGATGCTTGGCGGTTGCCATGGAGATCTAGAGGGACACCGCCTTGGGTGCAAAGCATCCTGGAACTACCCTTCCCAGAGGGCTCTGCGCATAAGAGGCGTCACCGCATTGGACCAATGAGGGCTGGCGAGGGCCGGACTTCCGGCCCCGAGACTGTCACTTCGCTGCCGGCCTCCGGCCACACCGGTGTTGGGGGCTGGAGCGCGGCTGGTCCGGCCGGTTTTCCAGGAGGTTCTGGAGACCCGAGGCGAGGGTTGGAGGAAGGCGTGGGCGCAGGGCCGCTCCGTGCGCGCGCCGTGGCCTCGGGCCCACGGCCACGCCCTCCAGCCTCGGTTTCTCCGGTGTAACGTGGGCAGCTCCCTGGGGCCTTCGGGCGGCGCCCGGACCCACGTGCTCTCCGGCCTCCGTGGCGCCCGGGAGGCGGTGTCCAGGGCGTTTGCGCCTTTGACGGACGGACCAGGAGACTGAGGCCCGGAGCCAGAGCGCCTGGGTCGGCCGCTGCAAGCGCTGATTCTGATGGCGGCGGCGGCGCAGGTGAGTAGAGTGAGCCCCAGACCCCACCGCCCGCGCTGACCCCCTCCTCCATGGACCAGAGCCCCAACTAGAAGGGACTTACCTGGACGTCTTGTCTTACCTCTTGGATGCTCCCTGGACCCGGTGTCCAGGCCAGTGCAGCGTGCACGTTCGGGATCCCCACTTATGGCTGCCAAGGGGGTGAGGGTCCCGCACGTCTAAAGGCTGGGATGGGAAGCAGCCTTGGCACTTCCGGTCTAGAGCTTTTCAACTTGGAGCTCGAGGAGAGGGGATAGTATGTCAGAGCGGGGAGTGAGCGATCCCGAGGGCGCCGGGAGCTATGGAAGATTTTGGACATGCTTTAAGTTAGGAATTTGAACCTATCCCGCCGTTTCCTGAGTGGAGATAGACGCAGGTGGGGGTGTCGGTGTGCAGGGAGAAGGGAGGGTGGCCTGTGGAGCAGACTGAAGATGGAAAAACGGTCGAATTCCCAATATAGGTGCCTATTATCAGGTGCGGGGTGTGAATGGGTGTCCTGAGTGAAGGACTTTCACAAGTTTCTTAGTCTCGGCACCAAAAGAATGGAGCTGCTGGAAAGGAAATCAAGAATTTGAAGGGAGAGCAAGGTTCAGGGGAAAGTCGAGAAGTGTCTGTCCAGGAGTGGAGCCATCACGTGCACCTGGAACTTTTGACTTTCAGGGACAGAGTCCTGGCATCCTGAGCCGAGGTAGGGTCTGAGAATTACATGTAGGAGGAGGGGAGTTCACCAACTCAGCCAGAGATGGGCATTTAGTGCTCCGAGGAGATGAAGAGCAGCTGGCTTCCCCCTGCACGCACAGGAAGTCTGGCAGGTGGCAGCCAAGTGAGAAGGAAATGGGGGGGGGGGGGGAGGTGTTATGGAGGGAGGAACTGTTCCTCTGTGCCCACCAGATCCTTGGGTCCACTCTTGTGGACACCAGAGGGGATCACCCAGTCCTTCAGCCTGGAAGAAGCCTTAAAACATCAGGCAATTTCAGCAGGGCCGGGTGATGGGAGGGAGACAGCTGGGACTTATGTAGTTGCTTACTGCAAGAGCAGTAGGGGCACGTCTGGGGAGGGTCAGCTGGAGCAAATGCTGATGAATGACTCAACGCCTGGGACTGCCCTTGGGGTGGCAGCCAGCTGAAGGCTGAGGGCTTGCTCTGGCTGCCTTGTCTGGAGTGGCCAGCAGGCAGGCTGAGAAGGCATGTAAGGTGTAGACAAAGGGGGGCCCAGACAGTGGAGGGAAGCTGCATCTGCAGAGCCCTGGGGGAGGAGGGTGAATGTCTGAAGGACATCAGGGAAGTGGCTGAGGGGACGGGGTTGGGTTGTGGGTCACACACCCATAACGTAGATCATGCCCATCTTCCCCTGCCCACTGTTGTAGGGTCTGATGGTCTTTGAGGATGTGGTCGTGTACTTCTCCCGCGAAGAGTGGGAGCTCTTGGACGCAGCCCAGAGGGCCTTATACCGCCATGTGATGCTGGAAAACTTTGCACTCGTGGCTTCATTGGGTAAGGCCCTGAGTTCTCCAGTTGTTGCCAGGCTGGTCCACCAGCACTAACCCCCTTACCTCCTGGTGTCCTCCGAGCAGCCCCACACCCACTGGCTGGGTGTCCGTCCGGCTGTGGCACTCCTGTGCCTGGGCTCAGTACCCATCCTTGTCACTACCAACACGTTTCTCCTCACGGGCACCATTAATCTGATCCTGTGAGCCCTGACTTGTGATGCAGCCACTAGATTTTTTAGTTGCACAGTTCCTCCCATCTCTTGGGCACTGGTTGTCATGAGCTGGGGCTGGCCCCTCACTTGCTTGTCTTCTGTAGGACTCTCTGCCTCCCGACCTCGTATAGTCATCCAGCTCGAACGTGGTGAGGAGCCCTGGGTTCTCAGTGGGCCGGATGTGACCCTGGCCAGGAGTGCCCAGAGGAGGCCCAGCCCTGGTGAGTGGGTCTCCGGGAAGGGGGGTCCCTCTTCCCCACTCTCCTGCACACTGTCCTCTCCTGCCTTCCACCTGATTCCTTCCTGTTCTCCTTCCACCATTAGGCTCTCCTGGAGACTCTAGCCTTGGCTGCCCATAAAGGGGGAACTCTAAGGGCACCCCAGGCCATGGTGAGACCTCTGAATCACACCCTGGCTGAGGGTCTCAGCACCAGAGGCACAGCCTTGAGATGTTCCTGGTTCTGCCTTCATGGAGGTGACCATGGTATGGGGAGAAGCAGTCAGTAAACAGAGTTCATGAGTAAAACTATAGCATCAGGTAGCCATCAGTGTAAGGAACACAGGCAAGCTGGGGAGTCCTCCAGACAAGTGTGCTACATACAGGAAGTGTTCTCTCCAGCTTCCACACCCAGACTTTAGGGTCCCCCTTGCCCACCCACTCAGTCATCCCAGGTCACCTCCTCCTGGTCAGGATGACCCAAGCATCCACTGTTTCTGATCCTTCAGGTTCCCAACATCTGGCAGAGGGCAGAGATGTTTCTGGGGAAGCAGCATGGCCAAGGACCTTCCAGGGAAGGCCTCCTCCGTTGCCTAGTAGGGTCCTCCCCCCAACTGCCACCTGTGAACCTGGAAAACGCCTGGAGGGTCAGTGGGGCACTTCCTCATCTCAGGAGAGAAAACCCACAGGGGTCTCTGTGATCTACTGGGAAAGGCTCTTGCTAGGCCCAGGCAGTGATGAGGACAGTGTCAGCTTGCGGCTGACCTCCCCGCTAAGGGCTCCAAGGGGCAGCCCCTCCACGGAAAAAGCTCTCACAGACCTCTTGGAGCCAGGCAAGCAGCCAAGGGCATCCAAACGGCAGGAGCCATTGGTGCGGAAGCCCTCTGAGAGGACCTTCCCGAGCATCCCAGACCTTGAGGCCGGTCACACTGTGGGGGAACTAGGAATGGAGGGGTCTTGGCACAAGCCTCAGAGAGTCCCCGCCGGCCAGGAGCCCCCAACCTGGGATGAGCTGGGTGAGGCCCTCCATGCTGGCCCGGGCCTCCTTCCTGGGGAGAAAACCTTCGAATGCAGGGCATGTAGCAAAGTCTTTGTGAAGAGCTCGGACCTCCTCAAGCACCTGCGCACCCACACCGGGGAGCGGCCCTACGAATGCGCACAGTGCGGCAAGGCCTTCAGCCAGACATCGCACCTGACACAGCACCAGCGCATCCACAGCGGCGAGACACCCTACGCATGCCTGGCCTGTGGCAAGGCCTTCCGGCACAGCTCCTCACTGGTGCGGCACCAGCGCATCCACACCGCGGAGAAGGCCTTTCGCTGCGGCGAGTGCGGCAAGGCCTTCAGCCACGGTTCCAACCTCAGCCAGCACCGCAAGATCCACGCAGGGGGGCGGCCCTATGCTTGTGCGAGGTGTGGCCGCCGCTTCTGCCGCAACTCGCATCTGATCCAGCATGAGCGCACGCACACGGGTGAGAAGCCGTATGCCTGCACACTCTGCGGGGCCGCCTTCAGCCAGGGCTCCTCGCTCTTCAAGCACCAGCGTGTGCACACCGGCGAGAAGCCCTTCACCTGCCCCCAGTGTGGCCGGGCCTTCAGTCACAGCTCCAACCTCACACAGCACCAGCTGCTTCACACTGGCGAGCGGCCCTTCCGCTGTGGGGACTGCGGCAAGGCCTTCGCCAAAGGCGCCGTGCTGCTCAGCCACCGGCGCATCCACACAGGCGAAAAGCCTTTTGTGTGCTCTCAGTGTGGCCGCGCCTTCCGCGAGCGCCCGGCCCTGTTCCACCACCAGAGAATCCACACTGGTGAGAAGCCTGTGCGGAGGCCCAGGACCCTGGCGGGTCCACGCCCCCTGGCCAGGCCTCCTTCGGGGGCATCATCAGAGGGTGCTCCAGGGACCCAGCCCCTTCCTACCTCAGGCTCAGCTGCTGTGTCCCAGCCAGCTGAGGCCTGAGGTCTCACCTCTGCCCTTTCCAACATGGAGCCCCTTCCACGGCCAAAAGGCCAGGTCCTTTGTAAATCCACTGTGGAGAAGACTTGTGCGTGCACTCAAGTTCCATCAGCACGTGGTGACAAGATTTGCCACTTCAGCCACAATTGACTCCTCCATTTCCCAGAGGTCACACTACAGAAAGGTCAGGTGGAAGGGGATGGAGATGGAGCTGGGACTTTGGTGGGACTGAGACATGGCAGTCAGAGCCAGGGGGAGGATGCCACTGTGCCACTTTGTCACTTGTTATGACTAGACGCTAAGAGAAGGAGGGGGGTGTTGGTATGGGGGTAGAGGCAGTCCAGAGGAATTTGTAATGTAAATACCCAAACTGGCTAGTCCTCCCAGGTATCAGTTCATCTAAGGCTTTCAGGCACACTAGACAAGAGGTTGTGTGGGGTTGGATGCTGGCTTTGGTCAAGTAGCTGGGATCTGAGCCTCAGCTTCCTCCTCTGGGGAAAAGAAGGGTAAAAAAGATTCTGTCCTCGAAAGGGTATTTTCAGCCTCCTGACAGGATCTTTATAAGCCCAGCATGTGCTCTGCAGTCTCAGTGCTGCAGAGTTCCTCCTAATAGCCCTGTGAGGTTGCTGCTGTGGCTGGTATCCCCACTCCTCATGTGAGGAAACGAAGACAGAGAGGGGGCATGAGCTGCGCACAGTAAAGACAGGCCCAGTATCCAGACAGCCATCGTTCCAACCCCACACTCAGGTCTGCCAGCGGTGAGGGCAGAGGGAGGCCTGTCCTGGCTCCCTGCACATGCTGACCCACGGGAGGTGGAGGTGGTGGAAGTTCCGAGGGAAGGAAAGACAGAGTGAAGGCTACCCAGCCATGCTCATCCATCAAGATTCACATCGAAGCCTCAGCATTGACCATGTCCTGTTATTACCGAAGTCAAGTTTACAGAAGCCTTTACATCCCCACTGCCCTGTCAGGAGGTGAATGAAGAACAGGTCTAGAGGAAACAAGATGGGTCTTATTTCTGCAGGGTCTCTGCTCCCCACTTGCCCTCCCGACATCACCCCTCAGTGTGTCACCCCCACATGGTGGGTACACTGAGGCAGACTGTTGGTGTGGGGGCCTGGTTTGTTTCCTGTGGCCCTCAACAGACCGGGGCCCATCTTGACCTCCGGCCTCACTCCCAGGGAAGTTAATGGTCTTTTTACTGGGGAAAAAGGGAGTAGAAGGTACAACTTGGAACAGACATAGATGGTAAATTCTTGCACGGCACTGTGGAAGTCCACAGCTTCAGTCTCCCCTCCCACCGAGTCCAGAGAGGCTCCCTGATAAAGGTTTCTTTTTCAAATCATGTGTGTGGTAACCGCCTGGTTTCACCCTAGCACACTGAAGATGTGCCACCAGGGCATGTCCTCGCAATAGAGCTGTGGGGACTTGGCTTCAATCTGGGTCTCTTTGAGTAGCAACAGGGTAGAGATGCAGCCTGTCTGTGGCCACTGAAGGGCTGTGACACCTGTGTCCCCTTGGCAGCCAGAGGTGGGTGGGTGGCAGGGTGGATGGGGTGGGGCTGCCCCAAACAGCAGCTCTACTAGGAGTTGGGGCCTTTGCGGATCCCAGCTGTGGAATCTGAGGCAGGGACCACATATGACCCCAAAGGTTGACCCCAGTCCAGTGGGTGCTCCTGTCCCATCATATCCAAGACCTACAGCCATCTGCCATACACAGTGAGCACAGACATGATTCCCCTACTCCCCACTTGCCAGCAGAGTCAGTTCTATCTTGCACCCCAGAAATCTCACAAGGCGGTGAGGTGGGTGAGAAGTCAGGCAAGATCCAGGTCCTCAAAACCCAGGACAGGTCCTCTGTGGCAGGCCTCCTGATACCCTGTGGGCCCCTAAGCCATTTGTCTGCCCTTCCTAGCCTCTTGCCCCCACTTCTCCTTTCCCCAGGTTGGCCTCCCCACCCTGACTGAGGACTCTTTTGGGAGGCTATGAAGACCTTCAGGTGGAGACCCAAAGAGTTTCCCCTTTCTGCACCTTAGACAGAAGCTCCTCTGGGAGCCCAGTTTCCACCTTGAGCCCTCCTGGCCCAACCTGAGCCTGATGCCCTCTCCTGTTTCCCCACTAACCTTCCTGCTTCCTTGAGCTCCTTCCCACCTGTATGGCCGCGGCTATCCCTCAATTCCTCCACAAATCTACCTCTCCTACAACTCAGGACTGGTCAGTGGCCTCTGCCCTGTTACTGTGGGAAGAACAACCATGAGCATCTTCCTTCCCCCATGTCTTAGCCCCTGAGTTGCCCTCCACCAAATCTCTGGCAATGTGCCCTGTCCTGCCAGGCTGTTCCCCCTGGTCTTTCAGGATCAAGGTGGTGAACTGAACCCATCCACACTTGGTTCAAAAGCCCACTGAAACCACAGAGGATCATGTTTAAGACAAACCCTGTGGCCTGGCTGGTGTGTCTCAGCGGATGCGCATCCACCCATGCACCAAGAGGTTGCTGGTTCAGTTACCCAGTCAGGGCACATGCCCAGGTTGTGGGCCCAATGACCAGTGGGGGGCATGCAGGAGGCAGCCAGTGGATGTTCTCTCTCATGGATGTTTCTATCTCTCTCTCTCCCCCTCTCACTTCCTCTCTCTCTAAAATCAATAAAATCAATCAATAAAAAAAAATTGGTAACTGCCTATTGAGATAAACTAAAGGTCACCTTACTAGTTCTGGCCCACAAAGAAAGTAAAAGGTTGAACATGTCCCATAGGCCTAGACAAAAACCTCCATCCCTCACTTTGCAATACTGTACTGGTATCTGAAGACGTGTCAGACTCGGTATATAAATCATGGGACAGTTTCCTCATCCGTAAACGGGCGCCCACCGGGGAGGGCGCTCAGCGGAGGTCGAGTGAAGGACGAGCACCCTCCTCGCTGGAGAAAGCCCACGGATCACGCGGGCCTTGCCAGCCAGACTCTGCTTCCTTCTGGGACCACCCAGAAGGTGACTCTCTGCCATACAGGTACACGACTCGGGCCTCCACTCACGGCAGGGCGACGCTCCAGCTGTTGCCTTGGAAACTGCAGTAGGCGGGCGAGCGGCTCTAGCGGTTACCAAAGAGACCACTGGACGACCAGAAAAGCCTCAAGCAGAGAGCTGGGGGAGGGGCCTGGGCAGAGTGCCAGCTCCAATTGGCCGAAAGGTCACGTCTCTCACCTCGCTTACCAATAGGAACCCGGTACGTTTTGCACTTGCGAAGGATTTTAACGGCCCATCAGACTGGAGCGACTCGCGGTCGTGAGAGGCCTCTGAAAACGAGCCTCCGCTGGCGGCCACCGCCCCTGTCCTTGCTTACTGAGGCTCATGGGAAACGTAGTCCGAAGGGAAGAGGCGGGGCCTTCGGAGCAGGAGCGTGATTGGTAAGCGCGGTGTCGCCAAGGCAACACGTGGAGGGGCGGGGCCATTGACCGGAAGTGGCCTCCGGGCGCCGGCGTGGTGGCTGAGGTGAGCGCGGGCCCGCCTGGGCGCGGCTTCTTCCACCTCCCGGGACCCAGCTCCTCCTCCTGCGCTCCGGAGCGCCCGCCGCCCTCCCGACGTGCCCTGCGCGCCCCACCTCCGAAACTCTCCCACCCGAGCATCATTCCGCCTCCTCCCGGAAGACCCCTTCCCTCCTTCCATTTTTCAGAGACAAACTCCGGAGGCTGATCTCGCGGGTCGGACAGGCCCCCCCGAGGTGGGCGTGTTTCACTCCAGACCCTCTTCAGGGCCGGGTCACCGTTGCCCGCTCACGAGTCCGTGTATTTCAGGATCTTGTTTTGCTTTGCTTTTGCTTTTCACTTGCACGGTCCAGACGGTGCGAGTCAGCCACAGTGCGCTGTGGTCGGCGAGCACGGAGCCCCGGAGTCCAGCCGAGCTCCACCCAGGGGGCAGACGTGCCCCTCCCTGTAGCCAGCCCCTCAGGGTGCCCACTTCAGTCAACACGTCCTGCGCACCCATCCCCTCGTCCCATGTTGCCCCTTCCCACCCTCACGGCCCCAAGTCTCTTCCTGCCCCTCAGCCTCCTAAAGGCTGACTGCTTCCTGCCCCTTCCCTCCTCTCTTGGGTACTTCCCGCGGTTTCACAGCCTGACCCTGGAGCCTACCTCTCCACCACCTCCTGTTCTACCCAATGTTGGCAGTTTTCCTGGAAGATCCATTGGATAATCTGCCTCCAAGCATTTGTCCACAAGTCTGCATTACCCTGGTGGTGGCTTCTTGGCTGGCACCCTGACCCTTCCTTTTCTGCAGGTCCCTCTTGGTGGCTCCAAAAAGACTACTGGCACAATAATGCCATCCTCACTGGGCCTGCCCTCCGTGGACCCTGCAGCCACCCCAGAGAACCCTGAGGCAGCACGCCTCCGCTTCCGTGGGTTCCGCTACCAGGAGGCAGCAGGCCCTCAAGAGGCCCTGGCCCTGCTCCGGAAGCTGTGCCACCAGTGGCTTCAGCCAGAGGTGCACTCCAAGGAGCAGATGCTGGAGCTACTGGTGCTGGAGCAATTCCTGGGTGCGCTACCCCCTGAGATCCAGGCCTGGGTGCAGGGCCAGAAGCCAGGCAGCCCTGAGGAGGCTGCAACCCTGGTTGAGGGACTGCAGCATGACCCTGGGCAGCTGCTGGGCTGGGTGAGTATGGCCATTTTGGCTTTGTGGAGGGACAGAGTGAGACTAGAGCCCCAGTGACTTGCCTCTCCCCCTCAGATCACAGCCCATGTCCTGAAGCAAGCAGTGCTCCCAGCAGCACAGAAGGCAGAGGACTCACTGGGGAGCCTCCACCCTTCAGGGATAGTAGAACCCCTCAGCACAGCCATTGGGGAGGGGCCAACGGGTGCCCAGATGGAGGGGTCTGCCCAGCTCAGCTGCAATGTGAAGAAGGAGCCTGATGCCGATGGGCAGGAGATGGGTGAGAGTGGGGGCCACAGTTGTCTAGGGGCCTCCTGGTGGAGTGTGGACATCCACAGCTGGGATGGGGACCCAAGAGGGACTGAACTGCACAGGTGGGTCCCTGGAAGGCAGGAGGAAAAGGCTGTTTCACTGCATGCTATGAGTGATACACACAGTGGCCTCCTGTCTGCTGGCAGAAGAGGTCCATGGCTACAGCACCAGCACCAGCTCATCTGCCCCAGCTCATGTGGGCAGCCCCTGACCCCCATCTGCCTCACTTCCTAGCACCTGCCAGTCCCCCAAATCCAGCCCAGTCCCGAGAGGGGCCAGTTGGACCTGGGGAACCGGACTCTGCCTCCTTCCACCCATCCAGGATTCAGGTGAGCAGCCCCAGGTGGGAGGAGAATGTCTTTGGTATCTACTCTGCCCTGCCACTTTTCCAGGCTCCTTGCCAGCCATTGTTTTACATTTTGCTACCCAGATTGGAGTTGGTATCAGGGTGCCTTGCAGTTCATGGGGGACAGAGGGAGAGACCAGTGGTCTTTATACTTGGTTTAGGGTGACAGGAACTGTTAGAGAGAAGTCATTCAAGGGGTTGCAGCTCCCAGTAGGCCTGAGTTAGCACCAGGGATTTGCACCCTTGTGTGCAGGTGGGTAGGGGACAAGATGACCAATCTTGGGAGGAAAGCCTGAGCACCAGGCAGCAGTCTGGTCTCCCCAGCACAACTGAGGTCAGAATGCAGAAGCTCTTCCTAGGAAATTCCCCTAGTGCCCTCTCTTGAGCAGGGTGTGGAAGCTCAGCTGAGGCCCCTGCTACCTGGAGCACTTGTTTCCTGAGTGTGGGTAGCAAGGGTCCTATCCTCTCCCAGCAACTTTGCTCCTAAGCCACTCCACTGGAGTGTCCCGGTGGAAGAGGAAGTTGAGATGAGCCTGGAGGTTGTGAAGTGCCCCAGGCTCTCTCCAAGTCCTGATGGTACGATAGGAAAGTGAGGCCTGTGGCAGAGACAGGATTCAAAGCCTTCTCACCTCCAGCCACCACCAACCATTCTTGTTGTGGTTCTGTGTGACTGCTGCCTCCCCTGTGGCTTGTCTGTCTGGACTGTTTTTCCCAACCCAGCAAAACCCCACCCAGATGATGGGACTGTGGGAGGCAAGGAGGGCAGACCCCACAGGTTAGGAGTGCATCCCCAGGTAAAGTCCAAAAGAGCTCACCTGGTCCTCACATGCAGAATCTAGCCCACCACCCTGCAGACATACATCACCTGCCCTGGAGGTGTGGGGCTGCACCTTCTATGGAGAGTCCTCCCTCAGCTTGGTACCCACATCCAGGAATGTTGACAGCCCGTTGCAGCTCCCCCAAGGAGAGTCTCTATTAAGAGAGGGGCCTGGGGTCCCCTGAGTCCCCTGGCCTTTTGCTGGGGACACACTGCCCAAGGCACAGGGTTGGAGCCAGCCACACCTATCCCTGTCTCTGCCTCTCCCAGAGCCCAGGAGTCCTCAGCTCAGTCTGTCTAGCCAAAACGTGGGGTGGTGTAGCTTAGGGGTACCGGTGCTGGTGCTGGCAGCCTCCCCCAAGTGAGCCGCTGGCCGCTCCCACCCTGCCTGGCTTCCCCAACACTCACACCATCATCTCAGCATCATCTGAGCCTCCAGAACTGAGGCTGTGACCTGGGCTGGGTGGGTGTGGAGTGGCAGGCTCAGCAGTGATGGGCCACCTCCGGGCAGGAGGAGTGGGGGCTGCTGGACCCGTCACAGAAGGAAATGTACTGGGACGTGATGCTGGAGAAGTACGGCACGGTGGTCTCCCTGGGTGAGGACCAGCTGCGCCCCACCCCGCCCCTCTTCCCTGCCTGCATCTTGCCCTTCCCTGTGCATGTGGGCCTACCCCCTCCTTTCCTAGGGGCAGCCAGGCCACCCGCCAAGGCCCCACCCCTCACTTGTGCCAGCCCCTCGCCCGCCCAGTGCCAGGACTGGTGCCTGACTGACCGACCCCCATCAGGGTTACCGCCCCCTGGGCCCGACACGCGGACTGAGGCAGAGCCCAGGGCACGGAGCGCAGAGGTGGAGGGCCCTGGAAGCCTCTGCCCCGGTGAGTGCAGCCCCATGTGACGTGGTCCACCGGGTCACCGGAGGGTGGTAGCTTGTGTGGCTCACACACAAGGGGCGGGGGTGAGGCCTACGTCTGGGCACTGGGGCCACTGGGTCGGTGCCTGTCATTCCCCCCAGGAGCTGAGAGCGAGAGCCACGGGGAGGGTCCGCAACGCAGCCTCGAGCCCCTACCTCCCTGGGAGGGCCCGTCGGGGTCTGCTGCTTCGGTCCCACCTCCACCGGTGCCGGGCGCTGCGCGGAGCAAGCCCTACACGTGTGAGCAGTGCGGCCGTGGCTTCGACTGGAAGTCTTTGTTCGTCATTCACCACCGGACGCACGCGGGTGGGCAGGGCTCGCGGGCCCCGGCCTTGGACGTAGGTGGCGCTGAGAAGCCGCTGCAGGGTCACCGGGAGCCGGGCGCAGCGCGCCATTCCCGACGCGCGCCCCCGGTACCGCGGAACTACTCGTGCGAGGAGTGCGGGCGCAGCTTCAGCTGGAAGTCGCAGTTGGTCATCCACCGCAAGAGCCACGCTGGCCAGCAGCGCCACTTCTGCGGCGACTGCGGCCGCGGCTTCGACTGGAAGTCCCAGCTGGTCATCCACAGGAAGAGCCACCGGCCAGAGGGCCCGTGAACTGCTGGAGAAGGCAGGCTCGTCTTAGGGTCCTGAGTCCTCAGGGCCTGGACACAGTCCCTGCTCGGCCTCGGTCTGGAAGACTTGGAGGCAGTAGAGGGCGCTGGAGTGAATCAGAGTTCCCAGGAGGGCCCCTTATGGAAAACCACCTGGGTGCAACAAAACAAGCTGCCCCGCCCCGCCCCCCGCGCTGCCCCCCATCTCAACTGAGGTCTGGTTTAGAATCCGCCGCTGACCCGTGGCCAAGGGGGTGACTTCCAAGCTCGGATCTCCCCCTGTGACGTGATGCGGGACTCTTCCTGCACCTGGAACCTTGTTAGCCGCTGGTAGATGATCAAAAACTGCCCCTTCCCACCCTTCCTGAAGTGGCGGGGTCCAGGGCCTCTCTGTGTGGAAGGTGTGGAAAGCTCAGGAGAGCAGGGCCTGCTTCTGTTGACAGGCAGAGGGAAAACTGATGGTCCCACACGTGTGCTGTAGATTTTTAACACATTTTACTTTTAGACTAGGGAAGTTACTGCTTAACAAGCCTGATTTCTGCCTTCTGGTCAAAAGATCGACAATTCCACTCCTGCCTGGCAGCTGGGGCCACAGAGAAGCATACCCATGGGGAGGTCCTGTGGTCCTTCAGTGGAAGCGAAGTTGATCATTCACCGCAAGAGCCATGCTGGCCAGCAGCGCCTCAGCCCACCTTGTTCCTGGGCTGCCCATATCACTCTCCCAGCCTCGTTGTCCTTTGACCTCTTGAGCCCCAGCTTGAGTGGAAACTAAGGGGACTTATTTTATTGATTTCAGAGAGAGATGTGAAGGGAGAGAAACATTGATTTGTTGTTCCATTTATTTATGCATTCATTGGTTGATTCTTGTATGTGCCCTGACTGAGGATCGAACCCTCAACCTTGCGTATCAAGGACAATGCTTGAACCAACTGATCTACAGGGTCAGGGCAGGGGACTTACTTTTTAAGCACAGATAGTCAGGGATGAGCTCAGAAAAAGGGCCACAAACATGTCATTTAGGCCATGCACATCTGAAGGTCAGTGCTGCGTCCCCACGCTCTGCACAGCTGGTCAGTTGGTCACAAAGCAGGAGAGCAAAAGATCAGCCTACTGCCCACAGAGGTACGTCTGGATTCCTAGTCAGTCATTCAGGACTTTGGTCCGTGCACTGTATTAGTTTCCTACTGTTGTTCTAACAAACTTGATGGCTTGAAATAACACATTCTCTAATGACTGTGAAATGGGTTTTACTGGGCTAAAATGAAGGTGTCATCAGGGCGTGCTCCTCCTGGAGGCTCTAGGGAAGAATCCATTTTATTGCCTTTTCCAGCTTCTAGAGGTTGCCACGTTCCTTGGTTTGCTGCCCCTTCCACCTGCAAAGCCAGCAGTAGTGGTGAAGTCTTTGTTATGCTGAAATCTCTCTAACTGATCCTCCTGCCTGCTCCTTACAAGGGCACTTATGGTTGCATTTAGGACTCAGCTAGTAATCTATGATAATATTCCTCTCTCATGATCCTTTAAATCCTTTTTTTCGTTCCCCACCTGCACACTTTATTCATCTGCAGAATCCCTTTCCATGTGAGATAACATTCACAAGTTCCAGGGATAGGACATGAATATCTTTGGGGCCACTAGTAAGCACTGTTCTGTGTCTCCTTCCTACTTTGAAAACAAGGGGCAGCCCTGGCCGGTTTGGCTCAGCAGTTAGAGCGTCGGCCTGCGGTCCAGAGAGACCCGGGTTCATTTCCCGTTAAGGGCATGTACCTCGGTTGCAGTTTGTCCCTGGCTCTGGTTGGGCCATGTGGGTGGCAACCACTCAATGTGTCCCTTTCGCGTTGATGTTTCTCTCGCTCTTCCTCTCTCTCCCTCCCACTCTATCTGAACAAAAAATGAAAAAATGTCCCTGGGTGAGGATTAAAAAAAACAAACAAAACAAGGGTCATTTTTGTGGGGTATGGTTTCAGGAAACAGGTGCACTCAAGGATGAACCCCTCTGCAGCCTTGGACACATGCAGGAGTGGCAGGTGGGTGTGACCATGGTTACCCAGGCAGAAGAGTGGCTACCTGTGGGATCACCGGGTGGGGGTGAGGACCTTGCTGCAGCCCGAAGCTGGGAGGGGTAAGTTTCCGTCAGGGTAGGGGGCTGCCTATTCCATCCCCAGTCTTCTAAGGACCTACTGACCTGTTGCTCGCACACTGGGGCCTGGGAAAGCACCGCCAGGCTGGAGGTGGAGCTGGTTGCGGGTGATCTAGTGGGCAAGCAGGCGAGATCTGTACTGAGGATATGGAGGAAGAGGACGGTGGATCCCCAGGTCCCTGATGGATCCACGTTAAAGAATTCCGATGTCCCTCTCAAGCTCATAGCTCTAGAATCTAGGTTCCTCCACCTTTCTCTTTACCACTGGTCTGCTCCTGCAGTGCTCCAGACAGAGGACACCTCTGGTTCCAAACACACTGCGGACTCCATCTTCAGAGGCCTCTGCACCCCCTGCCCCGTCCCTGTCCCCCCAGCACTTTCCCCAGGGCTTTTGCACGTGCACTCTCCCAGTACTGCTTAGACTTCATGAAGTTCCTACTCAGACTTCATGCCTCAGTCCAACGCCCACCTGCCCTTGTCAGGTTGCCCATCGTAACATTGATCCCCACATCATCCAGAGCACATCCGCATCCCCTGGTTCAGGCCTATTAGAGGCCACAAAAGACCTACAGATGGAGTATGCGCTCTCACCTCTCCGCCGTGGAGTGGATGCAGGTTGCTGACTTCTCCCACAACTCTGGCCTTGCCCGGACAAGTCCACTCCTGCAGGCTAGTTGAGGTCCTTGGTGCAAAGGCAGGTGGAGCCCTGAAGCATGGTTTCTGGAGAGAACTGGGACCTTCACTTCTGGTTCATTTCTCCATTGACACAGACATCGCTGTACACATCCGAGTTTATTTTCACTCTGTTCCTGGGCCCAGTGTCGGCCTGTTTTGTGGAGCTGGGCACATGGCCAGTCTGAGATTCATGATGACCCCATGCAGATCCAGGGAGGAGGTGGTGACATTGCAAATGCAGGTAGTTCTAAGTTTTTAAAAAGCCCCAGCCGGTGTGGCTCAGTTGACTGTCATTGGGAGCACCAAAAGGTCACCAGTTGGATTCCAGTTCAGGACATATGCCCAGGTTTTAGCTTCAGCACCCCCTGTTGGGATATGTGCAGGAGGTAACCAATGGATGTTCCTCTCTGAAATCAATAAAAATATACCTTTAATTAATTAATATTTTAAAAAGGCTTTCCAGCCCTGGCTGGTTCAATTCTGGTCAAGGGCACACACCTGGGTTGCAGGTTCGATTCCCCAGCCCTGGTCATGGTCGTGTGGGAGACAACCAATTGATGTGTTTCTCCCATCAATGTTTCTCTCTTTCTCCCTCCCTCCCTTCCACGCTATCTAAAAATCAATGCGGAATAACAAAACAACAAAAAGGCCTTCCAAAGCTCCAAAGCAGGAGGAAACTAGCATTTATTAGACATTAGGAAAAAAAGAAAAGGAATAGCCATTCCGGAAGCACAAATTCAAGCAGAGGCCCAAATAGACAAAGCAAGGGGGATTTATGAGAAAGTGAAGGAGAACAATTACATCCATAGAAGGACGGCATTGCTATTGGTGCAGATAACATAGTGATGTTAATTATAAACAATGTTTTTAATTTTCCAGGCCTGTATTCGTCAATCCAGTAGTCATAAGACTTGCTTTCTTGTTATTCTTACAAACAGTTATTCTTTTGGACACAAGGTTGATTAGGCTCTGTTTTAACCTTCAAGAGGCTTGAGACATAAGACATGCAAGGTAGTTCCTCCAGCATAGTAGCTCCAGCTTCATTTTAAAGTGCCTCCCTTTATTTTTTGACAGTGGCCAGCACTTGGCCCTGCCCCTTCAGATGTCTTAGCCGGTGGCTAGATGTTCAGAGTTTCCAGGTACCCTCACACACAGCCTGATACGTCTCCTGTGTCAGAGGCCGGAATGTCTGGGCCTGGTTGTCCAGCACAAACAGCGAGTCCGCAATGACGCCCACGTTGAAACCCTCACGCACCAACCGGGACTTCACCAGTTTGAACGTGTTTGTGATCTCCAGGGTGTCCTGCAGGAGCAGTGACTGTAACTCCAACTGCGGCTTCCACGGCCAGGACCTCCCACCCACCCACCACTGCCACCCCGAGCTCACCTGGATACGGATGAAATGGGGGACAGCATAGGAAGGGAGCCAAGTGCGGACGTGCTGGTACAGCTTCTGCCCATCGAAGGTACGGCCTGGGGCCAGCTGGACAGCGGCCATGCCCACCTTGCCCTCACACCCTGGGAAGCACACCAGTCACTCTCTGCTGAACCACCTCACAGAGCCCACTGCTGACCCCTTCGCCTGGCACAGCGCTGCTCACTGGCGGTGCCCCAGCAGGTCCCCTACCGCTAAACTGGGGATACTCCGCCCACAAGGCTATTGGAGGTTTAAAATGAGGTGAAGCCTCAGCACCTGGCACAGACACACCGTAGACGTTCACCTCCTGCAGGAAGTCCACGAGTGACAACACGCCTTCCACCTCCCGCGTGGACACATTCTCACCCTTCCATCTGCAGCGTTGAAACCCGGGGCTTGTGACCACGCCCCTGGCAACGGGGAGGCCCCGCCTCTCGCCCACCAAACCCCGCCCCTCTGGGATCCGGAAGTCCCGCCTCTTTAGTAGACCTCCCTATAGGACCAGAAAGGCCCAGTGGCTCCGCCTTCCAGCCCCGCCCCCACAGTCCCCGCCCCGGACCGGAAGGTGTCCCCGAGGCGGTCGTGGAAGTAGAGGAATCCTTCGCGATCCATGGACAGCACGTCCCCGGAATTGTAGTAAATGTCGTCCGGGCACCGCACCTTCCGCACCAGCTTCCGTTCCGACAGTTCTCGGGGCCCGCGGTAGCCCAGGAAAGGGTGGCGGCCTAGCACCCGAGTCAACAGGAGCCCCGGCTCCCCTGGGGGCAGGAGTAGGAGTTGGGGCATTAACCTTGGACAGGAATCTCAGGAGCCCACCAGCCTCCCGCCGGAGATGTCCAACAACGGTGGACTCCATCACCCAGGACCCTGCCAGAGAAGACAGGAGAAACCCAGAGACAGAGGCAGGGAGAGACGGGCTCAAGAGACAGGGACAGGGAGACAGAAAATGAGTGACAGACGGAGAGAGAAGGTGGCATGGGGAACCCATTAAAAATAGGAAAGGATAACAAGGGATGGAGGAGGGACAGAAACAAATGATGGCGGGAAGAAAGGGATGTGTCCAGACCTTGCAAGGCCCCAGGAGAGAAGACCCGAGGAGAAGATAGAGGACAAGAGATTGATGCGATTGATGCCTGCAGGGCATGGCTTCCACAGAAATCTCGAGAGGACAACTCCAGTGGACCCCCAGAGACACAGCAGACAAGAGATTGAGGCAGGCGAGCTAGACAAAGCTGAGAGGCTGAGAGGCAGAGGGTCACAGACAGTGGTCAGATGGGCTGGGAACTCAGGCACCCGGTGAGAGCAGAAGACACCACCACAGGGCACCAGGCTTTAGGTGGCTTGTTCCAGACAAGGAGGAGACAGGGTCACTACTCTTCCCACACCAAGGTAGGTTCCCTGACTGCCATACCTGGCCCCACAGGCACACAGAAGCCTGATTTGTCTCTCACAGGCTCCGCAGCCTCCGTGTCAAACTGTACAAGCTCAAAGGGGGCCAGCATCTGATTGGAGGGTGGGGAAGATGTCAGCAAGGGTCCTGGGCACTCAGCTTTGATCAAGGTCACCATCCACGCCCAACCCACTCACTCGAAGGATGCAGCTCGTCTTGCCCACAGCCCCACAGCGCCCTGGATAGTTGACAAAGCCAACATTGCCTTCTGTGGATCCATAGACTTCAAAGATCCGAATGGGGCCAAAGCGTTGCTGGAAGGCCTCCCACACGTCTGCTCGGAGTCCGTTGCCCATTGCCAGGCGGACTGTATGTGTCCGGTCCTCTTGTCGCTGCAGGGGTGTCCCAAGGAGAGTTATGAGGAAGTGTCATTGGGCATGCCCAGGAATCCTTTCCTGAGAGGGCTGCCTCAGGTCCTCACCCAAAGAGTTACCTGGGAGGTGATGAGGGGTATATATCTAAAGGAGCCACCAGGAGTTTTTACTTAAAAGTAGTTATCTGGCATCTGTACTTAGAGGATTACCTGCAAATATCATCTTGGCGTGGAGAGTGCTACCTGGAGGCCTCATCTGGAGGGGTACCTAGGGTGACTGGAGGCCTCATCTGGGGTTTACATACGGATAGATTCCTGGAATTTTTTTTTTTTTTTCCATTTTTTGTACAGACAGAGTGGGAGGAAGAGAGAGGAAGGGAGAGAGAGAGAGAAACATCGACGTGAAAGGGACACACCGAGTGGCTGCCACCCGCACGACCAACCAGGGCCGGGGACAAACTGCAACCGAGGTACGTGCCCTTAGCGGGAACCGAACCCGGGTCTCTCCGGACCGCAGGCCTACGCTCTAACCGCTGAACCAAACCGGCCAGGGTGATTCCTGGAATTTTTATCTGGAGGGGTTACTTGGGGGCCTTTACCTGGAGGTAACCTGGGGAGTGATTTGAAACTTCTTGGGGAGTTTCCTAGGGGCTTTACTTGGAGGTAGTTACCTTGAGGGCTTGCCTAGAGACTTTATCCAGAGGGATACCTGAGGACCTTGCCTGGAGAGTTACCTATGGTCCATACCTCATTGCTTGGTAAGGATGAAGCTGGCACACACCTAATGAATTTGCCCTGAGCCACAGTGTGTTCTAGGCACTTTACATATGTTTATTTCTCACAATACCCTCTTTAGATATTATCCCTCTTTTTCAAATGAGGACACTGAAGCGAGAGAGGTGAAGTCACCTGCTCAAGGAAGCACAGGTGATCATCAAAGCCATGAAAGGAAACCTTGTATGGGAGTCATTGTATGTGGCTCTTTTCTGGAATGTTTTACCTGCGGAACCTTGCTTGAGTCCTGTACCTGAATATACCTGAGACCTTTACCTGAGATGACAGCTGCAATTTTAGACCTAAGGTGTTCACTGTGGAGCCCTAACCTTAGTGCCTCACCTGGGGAGCGTTACACAGGTACCGCAGAACCTCGCCCACATACTGGATCACAGTTACACCATGCTGCCGACAGTCATCCCAGAAGCAGGAAGCAGAGAACTTGGGGGCCAGGACACAGGTTGCTCCTGGGAGGCAGGAGAGGAAAGGGTTTCAGGTCATGCTTCCAAGGCACTGTGAAAAGCTGCTTTGATCTGTGGCCCCCTGAAGCACAGGATGATACTGGGCTCATATCTGCGTCCCTGGCACAGCCAGGACTGCCTCCGTGAGAAAAGCATAAATGGGCCTGGGTTCAAATCCTATCTCCAGAATCTGTGGAAAGCTTGGTGCCTGATACAAAAGAGCACTGCTAGTCCTGGCCAGATTGACTCATCAGGTAGAGATCGGCCTGAGAACTGAAGGGTCATGGGTTTGATTCCTGGTCAAGGGCACATACCTGGGTTGTAGGTTTGATTCCTGGCCCAGTCAGGGTCTTGCAGGAGGCAACAAATCAATGTGTCTCCCTCACATAGATGTTTTCTCTCTCTCCCTCCCTTCCACTCTATCAAAAAATCAATGGAAATATATCCGTAGGTGAGGATTAACCAAAAGAAAAAACAGTGAGTATTGCTAAATAAAGGCTGTGAAAATTAATCATTCTTTTTTTATTATTGATTTTTTGTGTGTGTTTTTTGTTTTAATGGCAATAAGGCAAGGGGAGGGGAGGGAAGGGAAGGGGAAATGCCCAGGAGGAAGAGCTGTCTTCATTGATTTCTTTAGAGAGAGAGAAAGAAAGAGAGAGAGAGAAACACTGATGAGAGAGAACATCGATCGGCCATCCTGCATGCTCCCCACTGGGGATTGGACCCACAAACTGGGCATGTACCCTGACCAGGAATCGAACCAGCGACCTCTTAGTGCTTGGGTCGATGCTCAATTACTGAGCCACACTGGCCAGGCTAATCATTCTTGATGATGATAAATGTTTTATGAATGTTTAGTTGAGTAGATGGATAGGTGGGTAGGTGGAAAGGAGAGTGGGTGGATGGATGGATGGATGTTTAGCAGGATGCTCACATGGATTAATTAATTTTAATGGCTACTACACTCACTCCAGGAAAGTGATCCTGCCTTTTGTTTTGTTTTGTTTTGTTAATCCTCACCCGAGGATATTTTTTTCCATTGATTTTTTAGAAAGCATGGAGGGGAGAGAGAGCAAGAGAGAGAAACATTGACGTGAGAGAGATACATTGAACCTGCAACTCAGGTACCTGCCCTTGACTGGGAATTGAACCTGAGATTCTTCAGTGTGCGGGCCAACACTCTAACCACTGAGCCATGCCAGCCAGGGCTATCCCTCCTTTTTGTTTTTTCCTAATATTGCTGAGATCCCTCCTCTTTTGATCCCTGCCTAAACAGCTGGATCCGTAGAAGGCATTCTCCCTAATTTAACCCTAATCCTCAACAAAGTCCTGCTAGTGAAATACCACTATCCCTGCACCCAAAGGGATAATTGCTTATGTGCTTGGTTAGTAGCAAGTGTCTCTTCTTTGAGGCTGTATGTTGACATGGAGATAAAATATAAAATGGATGCCAAGTCCTTGAAAACAACAGCTTTGTTTTCAACCCCTAACAACATGCCTGATTCAGGAAAGGTCTTCAAGAATTAGCAGGGGGAAGGTTGGCAGAAAGTTTTCCAATTAAAGCTCACAACTCATCTCAGGCTCTCTAAGGTAGAATAGCAGTTATGAGCTGCCTGCGATGTGATGAATTAGGAAGCACAATGAACCCCACGAAGGTTCTTGCCAAGAATAATTGAACTGAAGGCCCTGGCTGGGTAGCTGAGTTGATTAGTGCATCATCCCAATATGCCAAGGTTACGGGTTCAATTGCTGGTCAGAACACAGAAGAATCAACCAGCGTGGGCATAAATAAGTGGAACAACAAATCAATGTTTCTTTCTCTCTCAAGTCAATAAATAAAAAGTTTTATTAAAAATTATTTTTAATTCATAAAAAAAAACACACCTAAATAAAATACAGAAGACAAGTGGAAGTGAAGTGAGGGGGAGGTAACAAAGGAAACAATTATGTACAACAAAACGCTGATGGTGGCTGAAGCTGGGTGGTGGGTCCTAAGAATTCATGTAGATATTTTAAAATTTTTTTGAGAGAGAGAGGAAGGGAGAGGGAGAGAGATAGAAACACCGATGACAGAGAACATCGATTGGCCACCTCCTGCATGCCCCCCACTGGGGATTGGGCCCACAACCAGGGCCTGTGCCCTGACTGGGAATCGAACTGGCAACCTCTTGGTGCATGGTCGACACTCAACCAGTGAGCCACACTGGCCCAGCAGGATTCATGCAGAAATTTTTATGTGTGGAAAATTTTTCAAGATAGTATTTTGAAGAAACAAAAAATGACTGTGGAGAGGTCCTTATATGGATTCCTAGTCAGTTGTCCAGGGAGACAGCCAGGTAGAGTGCTTGCTGAGCATGTTCTCACTGGGACAAAAGCTCCTATGGGTGACCTCACACCAGCTCTTGTCACCTCCTGACCACAGCCCAGCCTTTAGGGACATCTGGGTATCCAAGCCTTTGTCCATATAGCTCTCTGCTATATGTCCCTTGTGAAAGGTAAGAATCCAGGGTGCTGGGTAATCTGTGAGTCCTTGTCATCCTGACATCCAGTCTGGCACTCCCTTCAACAGGATAGGTCATGAGGGAGGGGCTTACCGAGCTCCAAGCAGCCGAGGACCCCAAGGACAAGACCCATCACATGGTACAGAGGCAAGACGGTGTAGACCACATCATCAGCTGTGACCCCACTCAGGGACAGCATCCTGCTCATCTGTAGCACCCGCTCATGCGTGAGGATGGCCGGCTTTGGGAGCCCTGGGGGATAAAAGCCAGGGAAGGGTGGGGTGGTGGGAGAACAACATGCAAGGCTGGGTCTCCACAGTCAGGTCTGCAAGGTCCTCAGAAGCTGGAGTATGGGGATTTGCAGGTGGGTTCAAAGAGGTCACATTGACTTGGGGGGTTCAGAGACTGAATTCCTAAGCTCTATTAGGATTTCGGTGGCTGTTTGCTAGGAAGAGGCAAGAGTCTGGCACTGACCATTCAAATTTTGGGGCAGAGTTCAGGCTAGATGTCACAACCAAAGCACAGCATGGCTTGTGGAGGTCAGGCTTGGGGTCAGGTCAGTGTGAGAGTTCAGAGGTTAGAGCTAGGGCTGCTGGGTGTCCTCACCAGTGGTCCCTGAGGTGTAGATAAACAGGGCAGGGCTCTTCCGTGTGATCACAGCACGCAGGTCAGCAGGCACGGGGTCCAGGGGTGCAGCATCAAGGGCCGCCCCCAGCGCCCCCACCCCTGGTGTTGGGGAGGAGAGGCTGAGGTAGAAGCAGCGGATGTTCTCTGCCTGCAGCTTGGGAAGGACCTCCTCCAGGTTCTCCCAGAGGTCTGCAGGGATGGACAAGACGAGAAACTGTGGCAAGGCCCACTTTTGAAGTTGCGAGGGGAGACCCAAGCTCAGAGCTGGGGGAGAGGAGTCCACTGCCAGCCCCAGAGAATGCAGCCAGCAGAGAGCTCCTGTGTTCTGAAAATAACTCCATAATTAGTATTTCTTGCCCCCCCCCCCCAAAAAAAAACAACACACACACACACACACACACCAAAAAAACCACCTCTGGTGGCCTCAGAATTACTTTCCAGCAGTTAAGTTCAACAGCCTGTGGAGTGAGCCAGGAGGAAGGCGCTCCTGCCCAGCCCCACCTGGACCCGCTGAACAGCAGTCCTCCACATCGGTACCCCGCCCCTACCCCCTTCCGTCCTCCACTGGCCGCTGGGATCCTCACCTGGGTCCACCACCAGCACCCGAGCTCCAGAGCTCAGCACCGAGTGCACTAAGGGCGCCCCGCGAATATGCGGGTTGATCCAAGCCACCGGGCAGCCCAACTTGGCCAGCCCCAGCCACAGGCCCAGGGCGGGAATGGCCTGGGAGGCCAGCACAAGGAGGGCAGCGGGCTCCCTGGCACCCTGACCCTCAGAGTCCACCAGCTCCGCCTTCAGAACCCACGCCGCGCGGCAGGCCTGTGCGTCCAGTTCCCGGTAGGTGACTGAGCGGCCTCCGGGTCCCGTCCACACCAAGGGCGCGTGGCTCGGCTGCGCCCGCGCCCGCCGCTCAAAGGCGTCCACAAAGGTGTCGGGTGGCTTGCGGCTCAAGCGCGACCTGATGCCCAGGCCTATGCGGAGGATCCCGACGATGAAGGACAGGTCTACGAGCAGCCAGCGCAGCCCCGCAGGTGGCCGCGCGGGCAGCAGAGCCAGCATGAGGGCCCCGGCCACTAGATTCAGCCAGTGGGGCATCCAGGGGACGAGCCACGGCCGCGCCAGCACAGCCAGGCCGATCAGCGCGCAGCACACGGGGTCCCCGAGGAGCCAGCGCAGGGCCAGGGCCACGGCCACAGGCCATGGGGACAGCCCCAGGCTCAGCAGCACCGAGAGTAGCGCGAGCAGCAGCACCAGGGACAGACGCGGCCCGGCGCCCATGGCAGCAGCTCTGTCCTCAGAGAAGGGCCAGCGGAATGCTCGACCTCTGTCCTCTGGCGGTGGCCCAGGCGGTATCGACAGCAGTGCTACCAGCTCCAGGACTCTGCCCCTCAGTCCTTCCTTTTATTTTTCAATTAGAATTGACAGTATTAGACTACTTTCAGGTGTACAGCATAGTGGTTGGACATTTATACACCTTATGAGGTGATGCCCCTATAAATCTAGTGCCCGACTGGCACTGCACAGGTATTACAATAGTGACTATATTCCCCACACTGTACTTTACATCTTCCCAACTGTTTCATTACTGACAATTGTTACTTAACCCCTTCACCTTTTTCACTCAGCTCCAGCTCTGCCCCCGGCTCTTCTTACCCCCACCTGTTTTTGTTTTTGTTTTCTTATTATTTTTAAAATCTTTATTGTTGAATGTATGACAGATGTTCCTCATTTTTCCCCCATTGACACCCTCCTCCCCACTCCCACCCCCCTCTTGCCTTTGTCTGTGTCCATTGGTTACATATGATTTTTTTGGTTTATTTCTTCCCACCCCCCAACCCCCTTCCCTTTGAGGTTTGTCAGTCTAGCAACAAATTTGTACTTTTTATTTTATTTTATTTTATTTTAATTTTATTTTTATCCTCACCCGAGGATATTTTTCCATTTTTTGTACAGATAGAATGGGAGGGAGGGAGAGGAAGGGAGAGAGAGTGAGAAACATCGACGTGAAGGGACACATCGAGTGGCTGCCACCCGCACGACCAACCAGGGCCGGGGACAAACTGCAACCGAGGTACATGCCCTTAGCGGGAACCGAACCCGGGTCTCTCCGGACCGCAGGCAGACGCTCTAACCGCTGAGCCAAACTGGCCAGGGCAAATTTGTACTTCTTAATGCCTTCACCTTTTTCACCCATTCCCCCAACCCCCCTCCCATCGGGCAACAAAATGTTCTCTGTATCTATAGGAATGTTTCTGTTCTGCCTGTTCATTTTGTTTGTAGATTCAATTGTCGGTAGATATGTATTCATTGCCATTTTGTTTGTTCATATATTTTATCTTTTTCTGCAAAAAGACCCTTCAACATTTCATATAATAATGGTTTGGTGATGATGAACTCCTTTAACTTTTTCTTGTCTGGGAAAGTCTTTATATGGCCATCGATTCTAAATGACAGCTTTGCAGGATAGAGTAATCTTGGTTGTAGGTTCTTGCTTTTCATTACTCTGAATATTTCTTGCCACACCCTTCCGGCCTGCAAAATTTCATTTGAGAAGTCAGCTGACAGTTTAATGGGAACTCCCTTGTAGGTAATTAACTGTTTTTCTCTTGCTGCTTTTAAGACTCTCCTTGTCTCGAACCTTTTGCATTGTGATGATGAGGTGTCTTGGTGTGGGCCTCTTGGGGTTCATCTTATTTGGGACTCTCTGTGCTTCCTAGACTTGTATGTCTGTTTCCTTCACCAAGTTAGGGAATTTTTCTGCCATTATTGCTTCCAATATGTTTTCCATTTCTTGTTCTCTCTCTTCTCCTTCTGGCACCCCCAAGGTGCGAATGTTGGTACACTTGAAGTTGTCCCAGAGGCTCCTTACACTCTCCTAATTTTTTTGGATTCTTTTTTCTTTTTGCTGTTCTGATTGGGTGTTTTTTCCTTCCTTAGATTCCAAATCGATGGTTTGCTTCTTGGCTTTACCTACTCTACTATTGAATCTGTGTAAATTATTCTTTATTTCAGTTAGTGCCTCCTTCATTTCTGACTGCTTTTTTATGCTCTTGAGGCCCTCACTAAGTTCTCTGAGGTTCTCACTGTTCATTGAGCATCCTTATAAGCAGTATTTTGAACTCAGCATCTGTTAGGTTGCTTATCTCCATTTCGCTTAGTTATTTTCCTGGGGTTTTGTTCTGTTCATTTGGGACCTGTTTCTTTGTCTCCTCATTTTGGCCACCTCCCTGTGTTTGTTTGTTTCTTTCTTTTTTTATCCTCATCCGAGGACATTTTTCCATTTTTTGTTCAAATAGAGTGGGGAGGGAGAGAGAGAGAGAGAGAGAAAGAGAGAGAGAGAGAGAGGGAGAGAGAGAAAGAAACATCAACGTGAAAGGGACACATCGAGTGGTTGCCACCCGCACAACCCAACCAGGGCCGGAGACAAACTGCAACCAAGGTACGTGCCCTTAGCGGGAACCGAACCCTGGTCACTCCGGACCGCAGGCCGATACTCTAACCGCTGAGCCAAACAGGCCAAGGCCTGTGTTTGTTTCTATGTGTTACTTAACGAGAGGTATGGGGCTAGCTGAGACCAGATGCTGCTTTGAAAGAATTTAGGAAAACCTGAAGCAGGATCCAAGACAGGCCAATCCTATGGTTAAGCAACTGGCAACAGCTTGGGTGGGCCTGAATGTTGGGTGGGACAGGGCCTCAGGGAATCACCAGGGCAGGACAAACAGTATGAGCCAGGTTGCTGGAGTCCCAGATATGGCAGCTGTCTGTCGCCCCAGGGAAGGGCTCACCAAAGGAACAAAGGCCTCTGACAGGAAGCCCCCTCTCTAGCCCTCGCTCCAGTGCCAAACAGCTCAGTTCTTCCCTTTATGTCTCTGGTGTCCCTGCAGCTGCCTCCCCTCCAAGCTTAGAGGGAGTGAGTCCGATAAGTCTGTGCGTGGGCCCTTTAAGAAGAGCTGTATGGGGCTCCAGCTGCCTCAGCCTCCCTGAGCCTCAGTTTCCGCTGGTTTTTCCAGCCAGAAGTTATGGTTACCATGACCTGTTTGTTTAGCTCTGTCCAGTCCTCTGTGGACCAGGCACTAGGGAAACAGGCCAGAACCATGGGCAGTCAGTAGGACAGCAAAGCCAGAGGGCTTCAAGCACAGTCAGCTGCTCTTCACACCTCACCTGCAGGTTCTACAGTGACACCCACTTAACTCAATGGGGAGGTGGGGCTTGCCCAGAGTGAGACTCTAGCCAAGCCAGGTATACAGTAGATGCTCAGTAAATACTAAAAGGAACACCTGCAGTGTCTGAATTCAAACCCAGCCCTGACTCTGTGGCACCCTTGGCATCTGTGGGTACCATATACATGGCAGGACCCCTCACCTCTGGTAGGCAGTCATGGGGGAGCTCAGAGGGGTGCTGCCATTGGCATAGGAGCCAGTAGATCATGCTGGGGCACCACTCTCCAGGCTGAACCACCCCCCTGGACCTGCCCCAAATCCTTAGGGCAGGATACCTAGACCAGGGCCCACCTCTGTGTTGGAGGAAGGAAAGGAGCAGCCTCCCTCTGGGATGCCAGGCAAATATTTGCAGGGTTTGCTGATACCAGCCTGCCATTAGCACCTTCAGCCACTCAGTAGGCAACCCAAAGACCTTGGCTGCTGCTCCAACACCCACCCACCCAGACCTTGCCTGCCAGGGCAGGTATGCTAGGGCTCAGATCCCCACATGGGAGCTTCATCCCAAAGATCCCCTAGACCTCCCAAAAGTAAGGTACTCAACCATCATGCCCATCAGAACAGGGAGGGGAAATCTGAAGTCCAAAGGTCTTGGAAGATCTTGGGGACAGGTTTTGAAATTTGCCTCCTGGACAGCAGCAACTGGGACTGGGGTGGGCTTCCATACATGGCCTCCCTTTCGGAAGACACACTTCATATAGGGCAGGCCTGTACCCCTCACCCACAGGACCAAGGGCTGTAGGAGTCATGCCTAGTTATATGCATACCCACTCCTGCCCAGAGAATACAGGTACCAGATTACCAAGCAGGCAGTCCCGTCTTTGCCCAAGGAGGGGGGTACCGAGCCCTAACACCCATAGCCAGTCTGTGAGAGAGAAACACATAGTCCAGGAGCTCACAGCTTCTGAGTTTGGGCCCACCAGCCAGTCCTTTATTACAAAATCCATGATGGGTTCATCTGAGCCCTCCTAGGTGCCAGATGAGGTGGCTGGGGAGGGTTCCAGGGATCTCACTCAGCGTGGCACTGGAATAGGGAAACAGCCCTAGGCCTCACCCCCCTCAGGGGAGGTGGTGGGCATGAATCGGAGTTAGAGCCACGAGTCCTGGGCCCTGCCCCAAGTCTGATGATTCAGTTCTCAGAGGTGGTCGGGTCCCTGACCAGTCCCAGCACCAGCCCACCAAACTTGGAAGGGTCAGAATACGTAGGAGTAATGCAAGTTGGGCCCCTGGCTAGTGGAGAAGATGGTAGAGGCAGGGATAGGGCCTGCGTCCAGGGGACAATGTGGTTGGCTGGCTGTGGAGAAGGTAAGGTGGTGGTTTGACCCAGAGGGCGGGGATGTTAGGGGTCCTGCAGTGGGCGTGGCTTAGCCCCACTGGCTATTGAGACCCCACGAAGGGTGTGGCCGACTGTGGGAGCGTGGTCAAACCCTCGGTCAGTGTGGTCCGGATCAGGCGCAGGGTGTGCAGCCAGGTGGCGCTCCAGCAGCGCGCGGTGAGAGAAGACCTTGCCGCAGGCTGGGCAGGGCGCACGCTCAGGCCGGTGTGTACGCATGTGCACGTTGAGCGAGCTCTTCTGCGTGAAGCGTTTGGCACAGACAGCGCACTGAAAGGCGCGCACGCCCGTATGCGTGACCATGTGCTTGAGCAGGTAATCGCGCAGTGAGAAAGATCGCCAGCACACGGCACACTGGTGGGGCTTCTCCCCTGTGGGCGACAGGGCAAGCCGGGCATGTGTGTCAGTTGGAAAGAGACCCTGCGTTGCTTTTGCTGGGCAGAAGTTCTCCCTTCCGGAACCAACCACCAACCCCGAATCCCCTTGCTTGCAGAGACATTCCAGGGCCATCCTCCACCCCCGGACCATTGTGCCCAACAGGGACCCCAATAAATCTCCCAGTAGGAAAAGCCAGGCTGGCCACTCAGGTGTCCCCCCCATCAAGGGACCTCCCCTTCCCCAATTCATACCATATCCATAGAGGATTCTAAACTCTCTGATCTTTGGCCACAGTTCTGGGGACAGTCGGGCAAGGCCCAGCACCCTTTCACTGGAAGAAACCTGGGCATACCTAACCCCTTTCTGCTGGAACCCCTGTTGCCTGCATCCCTGCCTACTGGCCACCATAATGTCCTGGGGTGACAGAGCAGGCTGACCCCCTCACATGGATCAGAGAACAGGAGGTAGGCTGTGTAGGCCCTTAGAATCATCTGGGCATAAACAAAAAGCCTTTCTCAAAGGCAGGTGGCTGCAGAGCAGTGCCTAAGAGGGGGTTCTCCCCAACAAACCAGGCCGGGCACCTGGTGAAGGCTACACTAAGCTGGCAAATCTTGGTTGGTCCCACCTTGGGGCTCCTGCCCTCTCTCCTTCCTCCTCAAGGCAGCTAGGTGGATATTTTAAACTGTACATTGTATCCCAGTTCTCACACCCATTTCAGAACAACTCCCCACCATTCACAGTGAAACCCCAACTTTCTGGCCCAGCAAAAATCCTCATGCCACTCTCATTGTCCTTCCAAATATTTGCTTTCCTTGACATCCAGCTTGGCCTTCAGCATTCCATACCTCAGGCCTCCCCAGGGAGCACCTGCACCATTCCTATGACACACCCACAACCTGCCAGCCACCACCTCAGCCCCTCCCCTCCATAAACCCCAGGTGACACTCTTCTGCACTTTGTTTTTCCCCCAGCTGCTTTGGAGCCACCTCCCTGCATGCTGAGGTCCAAGGAGACCTCCCTGCAGCCTTGGGACTCCAACCCTAATCAGGCAACTTCTCTGCCTGCTTCCCACACTTTTTCAAGGCCAGGGAACCCACACTCCCTTGCATCCAGTCCCAGTCACTGGACCCAAATGAAATCTGACTAGACCCAGGAAGGTCCAGTAGAACTGCTCCCCAACTTGCCCCCCCCCACGGCTTCATCCTTCCTGCCCATACCCAGCTCCACTGTGATCACTAAAGGCTCCTCCACCAGTTTCCAAAGGCTCTAAATAGGTTTCTGCTCTACAATCCAGCCTTAGGATACAGTCTACCCCACCCCACCCCACCCCACCCCACTAAAGTGTGGTAGGGGACAAGCAGGAGTGCCTGCTGCCCACACAGGTAGCACTTAGGGGTTCAATTTCTCTAGAGTCACCAAAGAGCAACAGAACTGTGTCACAGCCCCTGCCCAATGCCCAACCCTGCCTCGGGTTTGAATCTCTAATGACCCACTTGATGAAAACCACCCAGGCTCACCGGAGTGGATGAACATGTGCTTGGTGTAGTTTTTCCGGGAGCTGAAAGTCTTGCGGCAGTGACTGCACTCATAGGCAGGAGGCTCAGAACCCGGGGTGCGTGCAGGGTGGACCAAAGGAGCAGAGGTAGGAGCGGCGGGCGGTGCCGGGGCATCCCCGAGAGTTGTGCTGGGGGCTGCCTCCGGCTGGAGCGCAGGATAGAAGGCGGTTGGGGGCACAGGGGCTGGCCCGGAGGGTGCCGGAGGGGGCTGCGCTGGTGGCCCTGGAGCACCCAGATGAAAGGGGAAAAGAGCTACAGGGGGCCCAGGGGTCTTCAAGGCAGGCGGGCGGGGTCCGGACAGGACACAATCGGGTGGGGCTGGGGTCTCAGTGGGACAGCCTTCCATGGCTGTGCCTTCTTCCTCTTGCCAAGTGGAGACGTAGCTGTCGGGGAACACGTCCTCCGTCGCCGAAGGCCCGGGAAGGAAGTCCCTCCCGATGCCATAGTCAGAGAGGCCAGAGGGTGCAGGTGGCTCCTCGCGCACGCTCTCAGCGGCAGCGGTGAGGAAGCCAGCTGCGCAGTCAGGGAAGGAAGTGGGTGCCTGGACCTCGCCCGGGCCGCCGCCTTCGTCCTCGCCATCAGTCTCCTCTTCGCTATCCTCATCCTCATCCTCACCGCCCTCGTCTGGGGCCGCAGGCAGGACCGGGTCAGCGGCCGAGCCCTCAGCTTTGGCAGACGCAGGGGGCGCGGGCAGCTGCAGGCGCGCAGGCTGACGCTGCTTGCGGCTGTGCACCGCACCGCTATGGCCCAGGGGGCGTGCGGCCAGCAAGTGACGCAGGCGGTGGCGCAGTTGCGCGGGCGCGAGTGGCGGGGGCACGGGCGTGGGCAAGGGCGGGGGTGCGGGGGTGCCTGGGACAGGGACGCGGGCGCGAGCGATGATCTGCGTGCACTCATCAATGACCGTCTGGATGCGCAGCACAGACGCGGCGGTGAGCACCTGCAGTGCTTCGCCCTGCGCCACCACAAGCGAGCCACTGTAGAGGAACTCGACGAGCTGGCGCACCGTCTGCGCAGGCACCACCGGCGGCACGCGGATCTCAGAGTGGCCCAGCAGCAACTTGTCCTGGAAGAAGGGTGAGCCAGCGGCCAACACACAGCGGTGTGCGCGCAGCGAAGCCTCACGGATGCGCACGGTCACGTCGCAGAAGTGCCCGCCCAGTCGCTGCCCGTTGAGGGTCTCGAGCAGCGAGCGGGAGAAATTCTGCAGGTGGATGTGGTGTACTGCCTCCGCCGCCGCCATCTACACGGGACCCGGGTTGGGGGGGAGAGGGTGAAGGGGAGGTCAGCCAGGGACCCCTCCCCTCCGCCCTAGTGTCCCTGTCCCTTCTGCCTTTGTCGCAGGACAGGGCTCAAATGGGAATCTCTGCCCTCTCCAAAAGACCCTTACAGCACTCCGCGCAGCACATATCACCACGACCCCCCCCCCCCACACACACACACACACTCCAGGACTTCGGCCAATCTCACCATCTCCGCAGCTTCCAGCAGACAACTGGGAGAAGGATGGTAATATCTAAGGTCTAGCCTGCCTCCCTCCAACCGCCACTGCCTGCCCCGAGAGAAGTGAGAGAAGTGCGGCCTTGCTTACTACCCAAGAGAGGGTCCCGGGCTGGCTTCCCCGTCTTGGCCCAGCCGCCCACCCTTCCCCCAACTCCAATATCTATCAATCTTCTCCATATTCCCCTCCAGGGGTAGCTCTGTGGAGAAGAGGGACAGGCCAGCATTCAGAACTGGCTCACTCCCACCCGCAAGCTGCAACTCCTTCTACTCCTTCCGCTAGTGGCTGCTTTTTGGTCTGCCTCTGCCACACACCCCAACCTTAGAGCATCCAAGGCCCATGGGAGGAAAATACCCGGCTCTGGCACACCCCAGCACAGGAGTCTGGTGCTTCTTGGAATATGGACGGAGCCTGTGGGCACAGGTGGAGCATGGCTGAACAATCCCATGCTTCTTGTCAAACTGTGGCCTCATAATCCCAGCATTGCCCACCCTCAGGAACCAGAAAGAGGAGTTACCACCTCCCAAGGGATTCTGGGAATCTGAGAAGCTCTGCTACTTCATTTGTCAAGCAGGCACCGTGCTCACGCAGCCTCTGCTTCCCCTCTATTAAAAAGGAATGGGATACCTGGCTCATCCCACGGCCAGGCCACACTTCTCCAGTCTAGGGGAAGAGTGGACAGGACGCACCCTGAGACCAGCTTGGCCCAGGTAGGGTCACACAATCCCAGAGTGAGGCCTGTCTTAATCCTCAGCGTTTATTGGAGTCTCAGACTCATCTCCTCCCGCTCTTTAAGCCCAAATTGCCTTTGCTGGGACCAGATGCCCCATTCCTTGTACGCCCACATGTGACCCTTCAGACTTCACACACCTCCACTGCCCCCATACCGCTGGCCTGGACTGATGCAGTGACCTCTCCTCGTACTTCCCCCACTCCCGCCCCCCAACTCCCGGTCTATTCCCCAGGCGACAGCCAGAGGGAGCCTGTTCATTCCTAACAGGTCGGGACCCTCCGCTCAGAGGCCATCGTGCGAATTAATTCTTGGCAATTTCTCAAACAAGCCAAGTCTGCACGTGCCATTGCCTCTGCCCCAAGCATCCTTCCCGTTTCCATTCACCCGGCCTCTAAAGGGCTTCATATGAGCGCTGAGGGGTTGGGCGGAAACCTGTGCATCAAACTGACGGGTAAGTGAGCGCTTTTCCGATCCGACCCCGCCCTGCTCCCCGACAGGCCCCGACTGCTCGGTCCAGAGGCAGTAGGGCCTTCCAGGCGCCTCGGAACAAAGGCCATGAGGACGCTGCCCCTAGGCCTTCCCTCCCGGGCCGGTGCTGCGTTCCCGCTGCCACACACCGAGCCCCGAGGGTACTCTCCTGAGCTCTGCGCCCCTGCGCGCGTCCTACCCTGAGCCCAGAGCCCCTCTCCGGTCCTCGCCGGCCGCACCCGCTGCAGACTGCTCCAACCCGGCTCTCCGGCGTCCGCAGCCCGCCGCGTCGTGCCCGCGTCCTGCAGCGCCCCCTCACGTCCGCAGGGTGCGCTCCACGCCTAGCGCGGGGTCCCCTCCTTTGGCACGCCGGTCCTCCAGCCGGCCCTGAGGCAAGGGGATGACCGCCCAACCCCACCTCCGGCTCCTCCTCAGGCACCAGACCGGCCGTGGCCGCCTCCGACTTACCATCGCCAAGGTCGCACTTCCGGGCCGCGACTCCGGCGGAACCGAAGTCCGCAGCCGCTGCGGCGCTGGGAAACACTAGGCGGGAACATGTTTCCGGTGTTTCTATGGAGATCAGCTGCCGCCAGGCCGCAGTTCCGGGGGAACCAAAGTCGCAGACGCAGGGACCGCGGCTCAGCGAGGATTCTCTGGGTCGCAGCACGCTTCCGGCGTCGCCCTAGAGACGGGGCGGAGGCGGGGCCTGCGGTGTCAATCCACGGACCACGCAGCCGTGCGCGCGCGGCTGGATGGAGATGGTGCACAGCAATGGAGCGTGGGAAGGCAGCCTGCGGCTGGATCCCGCGCTCGCCTTCAACACCCAGCGACCCCGGGAGGAGGCCTTCTCATTACACGGGTGCAGATAGGAGGAGGGCTCGCAAGTGGGGTGGGGGAGCAGACCCCACCCCGGCCCTGGAGTCCCCTTTCTGCCCCGCGCCTGAGCCTGGGTCCCAGGTAGAAGGTGGAGACAATCTGATTCGATGCCCTATACCCCCCCCCCCCCCGCCCCAGGCTCTCCTGCCCCAGGATGAATCGTGACAAATAAATGAAGGCAAATGGACCTGAACAATGCGGCCCAGAGCTCAGAGAAGAAAGGGAGTGTCTGTGTGAGGGGGGGGGGGAGCGATGGGTGGTACCTCTGCAGGAGGGTGGCGAGCAGCCAGACCCTAAAGTCCCAAAGTCACAAGGGACGGAGTTTGTGGGAAGAGCTGTTAGGGCACAGGGAACAGCCAAGATCTTCAAGGACTGTGACGGGACTGGCTGTCCAGCACATGCGTGAACCAGGCCCACTAGGTGGTGAGCTGTCCTGGCCTTATGCTCTCCTATGGTGATTGGAGGGAGGCAGGAGGGCCTGGACCTCAAGGTCATAAGATCCCTGGGACCTCAGCGGACTCCATGCCTTATATAGTGGGGGGGGGGGGGGTTGACTTCTTAGCCTTAAGTATGAGGACATGGTCAGTACCTGGTTACCACATCTGTGTTGTAAATTTAAAGTTATAGAGGGGAGGGGAATTTCCCAGGTGGGGAATCACTGTCCCCACCAGAAGCCCGTCCTGTGGCCCATGACCTGTGGAAGCTCATTAAAACCCAACTCTAATGGATTCATTGTCCATGTTCAGAAGGTGGGCCCCTCACAATGGCCTGCCTAGTCTATTATGTCCACTCTATTCAACCTCAACCATGCCGCTTGACCCCTCTCTGGCCTCACAGGCCCCTTGCCGTGCCCACCTCCCTCAAGGTGCAGTTCCCTCTGACTGTTGCATCCTCTCATACTGCTCAATTGCCACCACCTACCTCAGGGAACCTCCCTGATATCTTTTTCACTTTGGCAGATTGCTGCTGTACCTAGGACCTAAACAGGAATGGAGGTGCCCACAGCTGCTTCACCCAGCCCTGGACCTGATTCCATTGGAATCTGAGGCATTGTAAGTCATCTCATGTAAGGTGGCAAAATTCTAATAATGCCCCCCTCCAAGATTCCCTGCCCAAATTCCCAGAATATGGCAGATATAATTAAGGTTACTTATCAGCTGTCTTCACAATATGGAGATGATCCTGGGCTATTTGGGTAGACCCAAAGTAATCAGCAAGGTCCTTAAAAGTAGAAGAGGAAAGCAGAGAGACTTGAATCAGAAGAACTCTGGAGCCTTTGAAGGTGGAAGGGGCCATGTGACAGGCAACACAAGGGTGAAGGTGGGATTCAGAATCTGAGAAGAGCCCTGGACGACAGCCAGCAAGAAAACAGGGATCTCAGTCTCACAACTGCACGGACCAGATCTGGATTCTGCCAGACAACTTGAATGACCTGGGAAGCAGATTTCTCCCCAGAGCTTCCAGATGAGAGCCTGGCCCTACCCACAACTTGACCGCAGCCTTTGTGAGAACCGGAGCGAGGCTGTGGCCCAGGTTTCTGACCTACAGCTAATAAATGGGTGTTGGTTTAAGCTATTGAGTTTGTGATCATTTGTTAAGAAGCTACAAAGCCCTGTCTGGTGTGGCTCAATTAGTTGGCCCGTTGTCCCCATGCATCGAGAGGTGGCCAGTTCAATTGCTGGTCAGGGCACATGCCCAGTTGCCAGCTTGATCCCCAGTAAAGTGTGTGCAATGTTGTGGCGCAAGAGAACCAAGAGATCACCAGAGCCAAATTAAAGCCAAATAGAGAGCAAAACCGACCGGCGACTGATCCCGAGTTCTCAAGAGACCAGCCCTGGGGCCTCCAAATGTTGTGGCGCGACAGAGTCAAAGGAAGACCACTAGAGAATCGAAGTCCAAATAAGAGCCATTTGTTAGTTGGCCGGTGTCTGATTCAGAATACTCCTGTGACAGAGTCTTTGGAATCAGCCCCAATATGCTTCATTTACATGCCTTTTATACCTTACAGAAAATAGGATCTTCTTGATATAATGCCCAAGGCCATAGCAATGCTGTATAGAATGTTTGTCTTATGGATAACAGGAACACCCAGGCATTTCAAGGTACATTTGGGTCACACTTAGCCACCGGCAGCACAACCACAATGCAAGCCTGATTCCTTGAGATTGTGGGGGATCTCGAGTCTCTGACGCAAGACCTCCAGGCTCTGTGGGCTCTGTCAGACATGTAGCCGGCTCCCAACAATTTCTTGGTTCAGGGAGTATTCCAGTTTACTGAGGAATTTTGACTAAACAGGTTCAGCTTGGGCATACAGTGACTTTCCCAATCATCAATTATGGAGCAGCACATTAATTTACCAATCATCAATTATGGGGTTATAAACATGCCAGCACAGCAGGAAGTGGCTAATGTTTCTCTCACCAATGTTTCATTCACTCCATTTCTCCCTCTAAAATCAAATACAGCTGCCTGAGACTCAGGGCCTCCACATGGTAAGTGACTGATAAATGCCACTGTTTTCATTGGATGAATACTTTCCCATCGCCTCTTTCATGCCAAATGCTTCATTTCTGCCTTACGGGCAGCATTTTACGGGCACCTTGGTTTCTCATTCTCCCATAATACAAGGTCTTACATGCAGGGGAGCTTGGGGGGGTCAGAGGAGAACCAACTGTTCAGACATACGACTGGAAGAGCATCAGGGCAGTTGAAAAGGTATGTGTGAGGACTCTGAAGAGGGAGGGGTGGGACAGGAGGTTCAAACCCAAACCCTGACCCTGCTCAGGCCTTGAGAAAACATGTTTTGCTTTTCTCTCCAAAGGCCTTTGTCACAGTGGTTATGGGGGGATTTTTGGGAATAGTGTAGCCAAGGGCACAGGTTTATGGTTTTTTTTTAATTTAATTTAATTTAATTTTATTTTATTTTGTGGTATGTGCCCCTAGCGGGAACCGAACTCAGGACTCTCTGGTCCGCAGGCTGACGCTCAACTGCTGAGCCAAACTGGACAGGGCTATTTTTTTTTTCTTTTTGTATAATTTTTCTTTATTAATTTTAGAGAGAGAGGAAGGGAGAGGCAGAGAGAGAGAGAGACATCGATGAGAGAGAACATAAATAGGCCACCTCCTGCCTAGCCAGTGTGGCTCAGTGGATTGAGTGTTGTCCATGGACTGAGAGGGAATCTGGTTCGATTCCCAGTCAGAGCACATGCTTAGGTTGTGGGCCCAGTGGGGGGCATGCAGAAGGTGACATATATATACATATATATATATATATATATATATATATATATATATATATACACACACACACACACACACACACACATACATATATATTTAATACTTTTATTGATTTTTTTCTTTATTGGTTTTTAGAGAGGAAAGGATAGAAACATTGATGAGAGGGAAATGTCTATCAGCTGCCTCCTGCACGCCCCCTACTGGGGAATATATCAAACTGGTGACTTCTTGGTGCATGGTTCATCACTCAACCACTGAGCCTCACCATCCGGGCTTGTTTTTTGTTCTTTAACTGTAAGAGAAAGTTTATTTAGAAAATCACAAAGGCAGCCCTGGCCAGTGTGGCTCAGTTGTTTGGAATGTCGTCCGTGGTGCACTGAGGAGTCTTGCGTTTGATTCCCCCCGTCAGGGCACATACCCAGGTTGCATGCTTGATCCCTGGTTGGGGTATGTATGGGAGGCAAACGATGGATGTTTCTCTTTCACATCAATGTTTCTCTCTCTCTCTCTCATCAATGAAAAACATATCCTTACGTGAGGATTTAAAAAAAGAAAAGAAAATCACAGAGGTAGAAGTGAGCTGTGAGCTGTAGAAGAAATGGGTTTCAGGAAACAAGTTACAGAGACAAAAAACAACAGCAGCAGCAACAAAAAAACCAGAACACTTGGGTTTAGGAGAGAAAGGCAAGGAAAAAGTGCCTGCAGGGAAGGGGGTGGGGAGAGGCTCCTTTGTGGTCCCTAGGGAGAGATGCCTAGGGCACTAGTTTAATAAACCAGGGAGGGGCTGATGATGTGACCTGAAAGTACTCAAAATTCCAGGCCTGATTAGAATCTTCCTGGGGGTAAGGGAAGAACCTGGGAGAGCCCAAGGATCCCACAGAAAAGAGCATTAGGAATTGAGCTCCTGAGAAGATGCTCCTCCTCAGCTGGTAGAGACAGGACTCTTCCCCTTCCCCCAGGGTTTAGATCAGAAGTCAGAAAGCTCAACTCCAACTCCCAGCTCAAATTAGGTCCCCAACCTCGCTCCACCGTCCGTTGCTATGAGGCTGGCTTTCTAGTTAGGGTCCCCTCTATGGCGACCACTATCCATGCCTGGCACTCAGACCACAGTGTCTCCAAGCCCTATGGTAATGGATCAGGGCTATGCC